AAGACTGAACAACTGGACAAACAGCACTACAAAGGTTCAATACAGCCTTCCTTCGAGATACTGACAAGCTCCATGAATTCAAGATAACTCTCAACAACAGGTCCCAAGCTCTACAGGATCTACTGAAAGAACAAGAAATTACTTTGGAGGACAACTGGAAAGGGATAAAAGAAGCACTAGCTTCAACGTGTCAGGAGGTTCTTGGTCCTAAGAAGCATCATCACAAGGAATGGATCTCTATGGGAAACCTGGACAAAATTCAAGAAAGGAAGAACAAGAAACTAGCAATTAACAACAGCCGAACGCGAGCAGAGAAAGTCAAAGCACAAGCAGACTACGCAGAAGCAAACAAGCAAGTGAAGAAAAGCATTAAGTCCGACAAGCAGAAATATATGGGAGAACTAGCAACGGCGGCGGAAAAAGCTGCAAGAGAAGGGAATATGAAACAACTATATGACACAACGAAGAAATTGGCTGGGAGATATAGCAAACCAGAGAGATCAGTCAAGGACAAAGAAGGGAAGACAATCACTGAGATTCAAGAACAGAGGAAAAGATGGGCAGAATACTTCGAGAAACTGCTGAATAGACCAGCCCCATTGAATCCACCGAACATCGAATCAGCCCACACAGACCTTCCAATAGATGTCACTCCACCAACGATCGAAGAAGTCAAGATGGCCATCAGACAAATCAAAAGTGGGAAGGCGACAGGACATGACGATATACCAGCAGAAGAACTGAAGTCAGACTTTGAAATAACTGCAAACATGCTTCACCTTCTATTCAAGAAGATTTTGGAAGAGGAACAAGTGCCGATGGACTGGAAAGAAGGATATCTCATCAAGATACCAAAGAAAGGAGATCTGAGCCAATGTGAGAACTACAGAGGTATCAGTTTGTTATCAGTACCAAGAAAAGTTTTCAACAGAGTGCTGCTGAATCGGATGAAAGACGCAGTAGACGCCGAACTTAGGGATCATCAGGCTGGATTCCGTAATGATAGGTCGTGCACAGACCAGATTGCGACACTACGGATCATCGTTGAACAATCAGTTGAGTGGAACTCATCACTATACATCAACTTCATTGACTATGGGAAGGCATTTGACAGCGTGGACAGGAGAACATTATGGAAACTTCTTCGACATTATGGAGTTCCTGAAAAGATTGTCAACATTATCCAAAACTCATACGATGGACTACAGTGCAAAGTGGTGCATGGAGGACAGCTGACAGATGCATTTCCAGTAAGGACCGGAGTCAGACAAGGCTGTCTACTCTCCCCATTTCTCTCCCTTCTAGTGATTGACCGGATTATGAAGAATTCGACATCTGAAGGGAAATACGGAATACAATGGACTTCTCAGAATCAATTAGATGATTTGGAATTCGCAGATGACCTAGCCCTCCTCTCTCGTACACACGATCAAATGCAGATGAAGACCGCAAATGTAGCAGCAGCCTCCGAATCGAAAGGCCTCCACATTCATAAACGAAAAAGCAAGATTCTCAAATGCAACACGGAGAACACCAACCCAATCACACTTGATGGCGAAACTCTGGAAGAGGTGGAAACATTCAATTACCTGGGAAGCATCGTTGATAAACAAGGAGGATTGGATGCAGATGTAAAGGCGAGGATTGGCAAAGCAAGGGCAGCATTTCTACAATTGAAGAACATATGGAACTCAAAACAACTCTCAACCAATTTCAAGGTCAGAATTTTTAATACGAATGTCAAGACAGTCCTACTGTATGAAGCTGAAACGTGAAGAACTACTACGGCCATCATCAGGAAGGTACAAGTATTTATAAATAATTGTCTACAAAAATTACTCAACATCCATTGGCCGGATACTATCAGCAACATCGTTTTATGGGAGAGGACAAACCAGCTTCCAGCTGAAGAGGAAATTAGGAAAAGACGTTGGAAGTGGATCGGACATACATTAAGAAAATCACCAATGTGCATCATGACTCAATCCCTAACTTGGAATCCGGAAGGGAAGCGGAAAAGAGGAAGGCCAAAGAACTCACTACGCCGGGAAATAGAAGCAGATATGAAAAGGATGAATAGCAACTGGAAAGAATTGGAAAGGAAGGCTCAGGACAGAGTTGGATGGAGAATGCTGGTGAGCGGCCTATGCTCCTCGACGAGGGGTAACAGGCGTAAGTAAGTAATTAGGTTAGTAAGTGGATAGAATAATAATAGACTCACAATAATTGACTTCTTTGGGAGATTCTCAAGTAGTTGGGGCGTGTTCAAAGTTGTCGCTCACTAGATGTGGTAGTAACGAGCCGCGGTTAACTATGACCACCACTACAGGAAAACTATGTGCCAGTTGTCCCGAAGGTCAAATATCAGAAGAAAGTTGAAGGTTGTAGTAAGACGTATTTGTTGGCGATCTCGTGGTATCGAAATAATAGCGAGATCGTGTCAAAATCCACACGTGAGACTACTGAGCGTAAACGAGTTCGTGCAAGATCACAAACAACAGAAAATTGTTTCTTGGTATGCTCAAACAAACAGGTACAGTAAAACAGTCACTGGTACAGTTGGTTATTATAATAATTGTTTCCATTATGACAATCGCATTCTCTTCATAAAAGTAGGTCACTACACGTTGTAAATGAAAATTGATAGTAATGGCTTTAGTAAAAATATGTGGAATAGGTAGGTAAACAAATTACATGTTTTTAAGCAAAGTATTTAAGCAGCTGTGATTCATGAATATTAGTTTAAAATAAGGTTATTTTCCTCCCATTTATGTATTTCAACGCATCTGCGTCTGGTTTTACAGGAGGATATACAAGTACAGTTAGTGTCTGATAAACTAAATTTTCCAGTTGTCAAGAAGATTTTAAAAGTTTGTCCACGGCCAGCTGCATCTAATTAAGACGCAGAATACTCCTTACCCAGGGTTGTATACTGCTTTTTGCAGGAAAGTAAAAACAGACACTTAGATATTCGGCTGTCGATGTTAACGCTGAAGAAATTGTTAAATGACGGTGATCTTGAAATATGGTCAGAGCTAAATGCAGTCTACAAATAAACACCAAACATACTTAACAGTTTTTTTAAACGATCGCTATCTTATGATACATCACAGCAGTATCATGCAACGCACTTTTTTCCTATTTTCAAGCAGATTGATTCGAATCAGTATGCTCCTTAAAAACAGGCCGATGTAGGAGTCACTGTAGTTTCTCTGTGGTTTTTATCAAAGGCTATATTATTACAATGGGTCTATATCACTAATATATTACGCGTAACTTACTATCGAAGTGAATTAGTGGTTTGTTGAGGCTAGTGGAAATGTAATATATATGATACATCAATATAAAATCCTCCTGCTCTGCACAAATTCTAAGCTCTCGACTTCAGCTTCCTGGAGCTATATACGCTGTAAGAACATCAACGTTGATGATCTATGTCAAAATGATCGGGGGCCTACTATAGTTAGACGAGAATGGGGACGAACCAATTAACGCTGAAGTCACACCTCGCGACCAGCCCTTACGTGGATTGAACCATCGACGCATCAAAGGATAATAGATGCTATGGAGACTGTACAACACAAAGGACGTTATTACAAGAATATATTAGTTAAGGTACAACTACGGAAGTACAGAAGTGAAAGAATAACCACTGCAGCGTGGGCCAGTCCATGGCGTACGATTGGTTTGTGCGCGTTGACTATCCTTGACCTTGACAAGGGTCAGTGATTTGTTCGATATTCAGTGACCCTACAACGCTGTAACATACACTAAATTTCACACTAATCGTTTTCTAGTTGTGACCATTAAACATTCTAACGAAAATGACTGATCAATTCTACTTACCAAATTGATCAGCTTCGTTAATTGCTTCAAGCACAAGACTTAAGTATAGTGTAATTATATTGAAGTTTGACAACTCTTTACCAGTAACACCTTTTGTAATCGAATCGTACCCACCCAGTTAAAATCAGAAGTCAGAAGCGAAAAGGTTGGAAGGTATATTTGATGCGTTATCAATATATCGAAAAGCGATTGATCTAACCTGGCTAATGATCATAGGAGATGTTTCCCACGCTGTGCGGTGACGTGATCTGGTGCGGATGCTTGACCGAACGCCTTCAGCTAAACAGGTCCACTAATACTAATGTGATCAGCATCCAATGTCGAACACTTAAAAAGTTATTGATTTTGGGGAATTATTTACAGCTACAATATCGACTAAACTTAATTATACGACTATCAAGAATACGAAACTGAGCAGGTGTTAAACTTGTTTCGTTGGCATGGACATGTTACTCAAGGTAGTTAAGTGTGGATAACCAAGTACATTAGCCCAAAACATGGACTATACGCCAGTAAGACGTACCTAACCGAAGACAAACGATATTGTTTCGACATTGAAGACGACAGTCGCTTATTCATAGAAACATAGTTTACAGCACAACAAACCTTTCTCCAGTAACATTATTCATTGACGGTGTAGCTAGGCAGATTAGAGCAATCGCTTCTCGATATATTGATAAAGCATCAAATATATCTTTTCAACCTCTTCGCATCTGACTTCTGATTTTAACGGTGTGGGGGATGATTCGAATATAGAAAGTGTTACTGGATAGTAGTTGTCGAACTAGAATACTGGTCGTATCTTCAGCGGTCTACTAGAAAAAAAATCAAAGATATAATTAAACTTACTATTACTTAGTATATCATTTCAGCATGAAATGCACGTCCTGTGTAACACAGTCAGACATGGCAAATAAAAACTACAACCGGAGAGAAAATCTAGTTGTTTAATAAAACATACATCATAATATGAGGAATTAAATGGCTAAATTAACGTAATTATGATTGTTATCACTTTGGGTGGCACATTAGATTTACATGGAAACGTTGAGTTTAAATCCACCCTTGAGAACTATCATACCATTGTAATTTGACCTCTGGTCATTTTATCTCAGATCACTGTTTTCTGATTGGCTGAAATGTCCCTCAAGGTCATCACTGATACAGCTTAATAGAGTGGATGTAATGATCACCCTTGTCCTGTATAACAAAACATCTGTTGGTTAATAGGAGTCAGGACTACTGTTGATTTTCAGTAAGAAATCATTCTATTTGTTGTAGGGATTCTCCAATCAGATGATGTCTAATATCTTTCTCACGAATTCGTGAGAAATGTGGATAACATGCATCTTGTAATTGTGTGCCTCTGCATTCACAGTACCAAAACTGAGTGCTATGTTTTCCAAAGTGCGCTTGTGTCTTCCGTTCATAATTCTTGAGATTTTCGTCATATGTGTGCAAAGTTACAATTTTCCGGAAAGTCCTTTTTTCTCGCGGTATGATGGCTTGGATTACTCTCCAGACTCATTCAGTAATCAACATAAAAGGACACGTCGCAGCACCTCAAAAACAAACATACTTTTGCCAATAAACGCATTCGGGAAAATTTTTCAACTCGTTTTATCTCCTGACTATGATGTAGTTCATCCGAATGCCAAGTTGATTGTTGGTGGTCGAGAATGGACTGGTGGTCTTCCAGCTGTTTCTGATCATGTTGTCCGGGGATATGTTGACGGATTCACACACAGTGTTGTTTTTGGAAGTGTAATAGACGGAGTGTTTCGGGGTACTGTGTCCTTGAATAAAAGCAATTTATTACATTCGGCCTCAGAATCTTATGATACCTATTTTATTGAACCCTCGGGATATTATTTTAACAAAGATTTTCCGTTCCATTCTGTTATATATAATTCGTTGGATGTCAAGATCCCTACTGTTGGTCAGAGTCGTATGCGTCGTGCAGTTCAAGAGATGGACCTTAAGTTTTGCGGATTATCATACCCTAATATTGTTCAGGAAATGAGTAAAACAAATATTGAGGATCGTGAAAAGCATGGAAATACCGGTAAGCCCCATATGGAAAATTGTTGCTCCGTATTCCGCCTCAATGTGCCACAGTTTAATGCTCAATCTTTCTGTTTTTGTTGAATGACTGTTCTAAGGCTTTACTTTCTTTATGGACAATCATATTCAAACCATGTTGCCGACTTACAAGGTCCATTTTTACCGCAAGACCGATAGAGTACTTGGGTAAATAGGTGTATGGATTTGTACTTCATTTCGTTTTAGTCCCATTAGATTTTTTTGCCTGTTTACATCATTTACATATGTTTCGGTATCTCCATAGTTTTTAAACCACAAACCGAGCAAGGCTAGTTAAAACCACGATGAAGGAGAATTATTCAGTCACTTCGTGTCTTATGGTCAGCCTATATGTAAATGTGTAAAAATACCACGAGTATTCGGAGATTGACAACGTTTTTACCAGTGGCACCTTTATGACCGAAGTATACCAACCCAGCCAAATCAGAAGACAGAGATTAAGGAATTCAAATATATGTTTGGAAGGTTATTGATATGCCGAAGAACGTTTGATCTAAGCTGGCTAATAGTTGAAAGGGACATATAGCACGGCGTACCCACTCAAATATCGAAGACTTACAGAGCTATTGATTTTGGGGATTTATTCACTGCTACACGTGATTTAGTCCCGAAGCAACATTCTATAACTAGCAGGCTCAAATTCTGTGAAGTTCCCATATATTATTTTGATAAATTCCGTTGTGAAAAATGTGGTTGTGCGTCCCAAATTAAATAAAAGGAATATTATGCTTATATGCAGGAATTTCAGAAATGTAACAGGGAAGCATGTAGTAGTAATTCTTTAATTGTATTCAACCTGTTTCTATCTAGGCGATTCTGTTTAATAAACGTGTCATCCTAACCTGGTCTGGTATTTTATAGCTTTCATTAGGACCTTTTGTTTAGTTACCTAGTTAATTATATTGTTTATTTATTTATTTGAACACATAAATATTGGTACAAAGGAGCACCAGATACATATGCGCCATACAAATCTCATTTGATTTGTGTGAGGGCTGTGATACTGCCCGGGTGCCCAAACTGAAGCAAGTGGTTTTCTTAAGGGGCTACACCCCGAGCCTTTGACCTAAAGATCTGATCCACAAGACAGTGGAACATCGTGAGGAGATGCAGTCCCATGGTAGCTGGTGACCAACAATTGGTTCATACGTCATTTGTTCCCTCAGGATACTGGTGTCCATGTACACCATTGGTTTGGAATCAGGGTTTTCCAACTCCCCTAGGTGGACTTTCCGTGTCCACCAACCCGGTTAAAGTGCCGGACATTCGCTTATCGTTCTCTCAATTTCGTAAACAACAGTAATACCACGAGAAGGCAGTGAGTAGGACTTCCCTGGCAGAGGCTGTATACATGTGGCCGTGTGAGAGCAGTTAATTGTTAATTATATTGAGGTGCTTCTATATGTGCTTACCTTGTGTCTGCCATCTATACTCTAATTGTATACCTATAATGCGTCCATAATCTACCTTATTCAGTGACTTATTCACTCGTTCACTGAGTAATTTATTGCTCCCACTCCGCTTCAAATTTATTTCTCGTCTGTCTGCCAGTCTGGATGCACGAAATGTACTTATCCCAAAATACTTCCGTATTTCTGTTCTGAAAATGTGACTCTCTGACAGAATATATTTGGGACGTTGAGCAGGACATCTATTTCAATAAGATCATAATGTAGTCAATAAGGAGCATTAAAAACCTTATATCGAGACTTAATATTAGGGTTTCCTGAACTTTTATTCATACCTAGATCGTCATTCTATTATTTGCCCTTTCACAATAAATGTATGTCCTAATACTATAACTATCAAGCAGGTTGATTTTCTTATGGTTGTCATAATAAACCTTTTATCCTTCCTATGGACCAGAATAGTTGATCTTTTGGAATAGCTATGCCCAGCTATTACTTCAATCAGAGCAGTTTTAGACAATTGTCACTTGTGGTATGTAACTAAATTCCACAGGTACCTCACAAAAATTGATAATAGCTGGTAGAAGCATCATATACTGGGAATATAATATTAGTTGGCCAGTTGGTATTGACGCGCCATCATAGTATAGGTTAGAGTTTTTGCCCATAGATTAGCTTAGTACAGTTTGTACTGGACCACATCAGGTATTAATAATGTATGTATCTAATTTGTTCGTATCCTAAGATCTGAACCCATTTTTTTTCTAAGTCTTCAGGTCAAGTAGTTCCTTCGTGAAGTCACCTTTCTCCAGGAATCGTGGATCATATTTTATGGAGCTGCAGAGTCCGTTTGTTCGCTCATTTAAACTTCCACATCTAGTTAACAATAATTCTTTGTCATATAAAGATGGCGGACCAAACACAAGAGTTTGTAACCTCTATTTACAGTCAGATACATACCTTTGGGATCATGTTATACATAAGCGACATATTCAAGGCAACAGGGAGCTTGCTGTCAAAGAAATCACTTCCATTTTTACACAACACGTTCAGGCCGCCCAGTTGATCTATCAAGATGCGATTTTCCGTGATCACTCAGTAAGTTGTTTAAAGGGAAGTACGTTTGAGTGAAAAATTGTTTACCCTGTCTTCTTTATCCGGCTGTAGTTACACAACCAATGAGGTTTTGTTTGATCAGCCAGCTATACACAACTACAGGTAAACTCATTTGATTTCGGGAGGGGAAAATGGTGGCTTATGATTCTAGTATATTCTAAATCACTTCACGATTACAATAAACTTTAATTCGAACTTGTAATAATTTTGCCCGTTTTATACAAAAGGCCTAGTTAATAAACAGAAAGTATGAATTAATTTTTTTTTACAAGATATGGACTTTTTCATGTAATGCCTTGTTAGTGTTTAAGGTTTTTAATATTTGGTAAGGTTAGGTGAGGAATTTTTAATTTTCCTTTTTATAACTAAATCCAATCCAGATTTTTTTTTTAATGCCATCACATGCTCAAAACTGCTTCCTTATTGTTTTAGTTTGCAATAAGGATAGAATGATTGAGCTATAATAACTAGACATGGTTATCAAAGTGGTTGATATGAAACTGATCGACTGCCTGCAATTATCATGCACAAAAATAGTTTTATCTGTTACTTTCTATGGCTGGTAATATTGATTGTACTATCTTTTTCTTAGTGATTATAATTGACTAATATATGAACGAAGAATCTTCTCGACGAACTCTCTTCGGATTCTACATTTATATCAAATAGATAACCCGAAGAGTGGCTAGGTTTAGGGCGAAGCGCATCGTTTAAAAATATAGCATTTGAACTTAGGATTGCTAAGCTACATAAAGTTGTTGATGTTGATATAACTCATATGGAATATTAATATGAATCAGCTTACATGTGAAGTGAGATTTTAAGATTCATAATCCGAATAAATATGGGTCAGATAGAGTGAGAGAAATAATAGAGCTATTACGAATTCGATCAAATGTTTAGTGAAAGACTATAATGTGTAAAAACTTAGGAAGACAGGATAAAGTTGGACAATTGCAAAGTAAATGAGTCGTGTATTCTGAAGATCAATAATAATGTTTAACCAATAATAAGAATACAAAGATATGTGAATAACATTAACAGAGACAATCATATTTGACTAAGAAAGGTTGTAAGTACAATAGTCAAATCAAGCCATTCAATAGCTAAGATTACCATTGACTAATTAGCCCCAAGGTTGGCCAAGGGGGGAGAAACGGTTGAAGATATTTCTTTTGCATACATAGCTTCGGTTTCTTAATCCGGATGGCTAATGCTTCAGCCGTTTAAAGGACTTTAAGCCTGACAAGCTTTGGCAAAAAAATTACTGACCGGATAGATACTTGAAAAGGGTTGGTTTATGCTGGCACTATGACCAGTGTGCACTAAATGGAACAATATTGAGCTGTTCACTTTCTTCACTAGCCTCTTGCTTAGCCACGCTACGATGAATTCCTAGAACTCCGACCAATATAACTTGATCCACAAGAGCAGTCTAACTGTTAACTACAGAATAAGGTGGTCATCCTAGACAATTCATCTTTTAGTCTCGGTGTCACCATTGGGCACGTAGAAAACTGTTCTGCATAATCTCTAAATTAATATTTCCCTAGTAGCATCATCTCTAGATTGTAGGAGCATGAACAAGGATTTCTTGTCCACCGTTGGTATTTCGCCTATTATAACCTCAGTGATCATATATTTGTTTATAAACTTCCCAGGGTATTTGCTCTCCCTAATAGTATTACGCGAGGCGTTTAGCTCTTCAGCTATATCCCTAGAACATATAATGCATATTCGGTAACTGAGTTTTGTACTGTACTTTTGTACGGTAGGGGTACAAAGCTAAGGAAATGTGTGTACTGCCCTGTTCATGTGTTTTTTCTATTTAAATTTCAGCTCTCTTGGTTAAGAGAACATCTAAAAAGTTAATTCTACTTTCACTCTCTCCGGATGTGAACTTAATGGCTGGGTGTACTTCATTCAATTGCCTAAGAACCTCTTGTTGTGATGTACTGTCTCTACAGAGGGTGAACGCATCATCCATATATCGACAGTAAAATGTAAATTTTTCAATAAGCTCTTTGAGTGGACCATTCTTTATTTTGGCTAGAGAAATGTCAGCTAGTATAGGGCCCGATGGTGAACCCATTGCAGCTCCATCCATTTGTCTATAGATTTTTCCGTTGAACGTGAAATTCACATTCATGGTGCATTTCAGTAATAACTCTTTTACGACATTATAGTTTCGATGTCGTTTTCTCGAAGTTGTTCACATATATATTTTACCGTCTCCATGAGTAGAGCATTTGTGAATAATGTTGTTACATCCAAAGACATCATCTTTTGTCCCACAGTATTTGCATTTTTGTTCTTGTCCACAAATTCGAATACATCCTTAAGACTACGTTTTGCAAGTTTTTTATGGAGTGGTTTCAATATAGTTACCAATTTGTTGACAAGGACAAAAATGCAAATACTATGGGACAAAAGATAATGTCTTTGGATGTAACATCATTATTCATAGCATCAGCCTCTACATCAGTAGGCCTCAACATGCACAAGAGAAAAGTAAGACCCTCAAATACAACACGGAGAACACCAACCCAATTACACTCGATAAATAGGTTCAGGAAAAGGTGGAAACTTCCACGCACCTTAGCAGCATCATTGATGAACACGGTTGGGTTGATTTTGATACGGACGTACAGATTGGGAAAAAAGAGCAGCGTTCCTACGATTAAAGAACATATGCGACTCAAATCAACTGTTAGCCATAATTTTCAATACAAATGTCAAGACAGTTCTGTTGTATCGATCCAAAAATTGGAGAACTACATAATTGACCCGCGATCGAATAATATTGATGTTAGTGAAATATATATCCTGCTAACTTCGTATATATTCTTCCGACGTATCCCATTAATAACAACGTTGATATGTGAAGTCAAATGCAAAGTATTTAAGGAACATATTTCAGATATTCGGTAGTGCAGACGAACGGTTAGTGACTAGAAGTAATGCACGTGAATCGGAGTGGCAGAAATAGCTAAGTCAGTGACTAATAATCGATTCAGTCTTTATAAGCACGGAAGAGATACAAGTGAGTACACAGGCGCATACGCACTAGCTTACCCACATATACGAAGCATGTTCAAGGTTACATGTGTGAAACTGGCCAGGACAAACATATGAATGATAGGGGGAAATCGAAAGATCTGAATGATTTATCTATCCAAAGTTCAGAAAAAATCTCGCATGAGTATGATAACAGAGATCTGCTACGCTACCACAACCACTATTGAAAAATTACAGATATCTGTAAACAGTTATCTACGCAAGATACTCCATACCCATTGACCGGATACCATCACCAGAAATTTACTGCATCAGAGAATAAACCTGCTTCAAGCTATAGAAGAAATTACGAGAAGTTGCTGGAGATAGAACACAGACTGCGAAAATCAAACTGAACCTTGATGCACGCCCTTACACGAAATCCAAAAGGAGAAGAGGGAAGCGAAAGAACACATTGCTCCGGGACTTGAAGGCAGATATCAAAAACATAAATAGGACAGCAACTCGAATAGAGGTCTCAGGACAGAATCATCTAAGAATTGTTGTTGGCGACTATGGTCGATAAGGAGTAACATGCAGAGGTAATAAGACGGCGAAAGTTCATATTTAAGGGCTAATTTTTTGTCTATTTTGACAGTTTATCCTCTGTCTTCGCGGTGATCCGTTTACTGAAAGACCCTAGTAATACGCATTGTTCCATTGCAGATAATCTTTGTTTCTCTAGTTGTTATTACCATAACTGGTAACTTCCTCATATAGTTGTTTCAAATCTTATTGTTTCGTCTTCTTTATCACTTATTGTGTGTGCTTTATTACGTTGAAGCAAAATGAGATGAAATTGTGCAGCTCTCATAAGTTTTGTTTCAGAAATGTGAATTCTGTTAATGTCCATTCCATTGATGATGCAGAAATAATAAATATTGTAGTTGAAACGGAATAGTCTCCCTTTTCGTTATCACCATTTGGTGGTAAGTTAATCATGTCGTATCTTTTAGGGATTTCTAACAAAATGTTAGTTCTTTTCAGTATGTTTTCAAATATTTTGTTTTTAAACCATTCCATTTAATAGTTTCCTTTTTTTCCAGGGCCGTTTAGAATTCCGAGGTGTCAGTTTTCGCGTTGATCGTGTCCTTATCAATGTAACGGAACATGACTGTCGTAATCGTCTGTGGAAACCTAAGTATTTGCAGGATCAGGATAACTCATATATCTCACCTAATGCCCTACCCCGTGAAACAATTTCTGATCATCTGTTCCTCCATCAGCCAAGTAATACGGATCACTCGGGTTTTAGTGGAGCATATACTGATGAGAATCCTTTTTGTGCACCCAATATTGATGTCACTAATTATCTTAATCTACATTCATACAACAAATATGATGACTTCTGCTTGGCTTATATTTTCACATACAGAGACTTTTCAGGTGGGACTATTGGTTTGGCATGGGTTGCTGAAGTGGGTGGTGCGGGTGGTGTCTGTGAAAAACATAGGAAAATTCTGGAAGGCGATCAAAATGTTTACAAAAGTCTGAATACTGGAATTGTAACTCTATTGAATTATGGATCAAAGGTAATCTATCAATAATTTGAACTGTCATTTGAAATGACTTCTAAACAATTAAAACACTTCATCATTGTTTTTCCGATTTTTAACTTTAGGTAGCCACAAAGGTATCGCAGCTAACATTTGCTCATGAATTAGGACATAATTTTGGTGCTAAACATGATAATTTTCATGAAAATGAATCATATGGATGCTTGCCGTCTATTGATGATGTCCGGGGTAATTATATTATGTTTGCTAGTGCGATAAGTGGTGATAAAGAAAACAACAACAAATTTTCCAATTGTTCACTTGATTCTATTGCCAAACTGTTAGACCGTGTTTTACGGGTACGTGTTATCAAAATCCTCCTGATATTTTTTCGTGTGCGTATTACTGTAAAATATTGTTACGTAGTGAAAAAATGTACCTATCTTAAAGCCTTGAAAAATCTATCGAACTAAAAGTGTTGGGGGCGGTTGGGCATATGTAATATATGTTCCCATTACCTTAGTCGATGAAGATTCACAGCTCCATCAACCAGTTTGCCATATTTGCCTAATATTTTAGCCCAATCTCCAACATTTCTTACTCAGTTATTTTGTGATGTTCGAGCAATGCTTAAAATATGCCTATGATGAAAAACCTGTAGCCTTGTATGTTTCCCATTTTCCTAAAGCATGTTCCACAGTTTTAGAGTAATATAGAGCGTACATTAGTTGCAGACGGATATTTTGTGTACACCACAGGTAGGAAAAGTTGCTAAAAACCAACTGAGCCTTCTGAATTAGAGACATCAATCAGACAGATTTGATGAATCATTGAAAATGTACATTTTTGTTACCCGTTTCCGTTTGTATTCAGTTTACCTAATTTTTTCTGTTAAAAAAAGTGAATTTTGTTTACTCAGGTAGGGGAGATACTGTCATCAGGCTTTTAGTAAACCTTTTTAACTTTTTACTTAAATGTATAGTTCACTGTAATCATGATAGATTTTCGGGAATTTTAGTAGTTGGAGTTTTCATCGATTATTACTGTTTCACTGTTTGGATGAAGCATGAATATGTCATAAATAAGCATAGTTTTAACCGCTAACATAGTTCACATGTTCGGAAAATTCAAAGAAAACCACTCACCTTTGGTTTTGGTCTGCACAGGTTAATTGGTTATGATAGCAAAAGCTCACAACCAATTCTACCTTTAACCTCTTAGTCTCATAGTTTTTGATATTTAGAAGTTATTAACTGGGCAATGCACTTATGTGGCTACTTGTTATGGCTGAATAAAAACTGATACGGCTCAACACAATGAAGTAGGCATAACTACATATGAAGACTTTTTTATGCACCAAAAACAGATCTACTACAGTTGTATCATTTACTTATCTGATTGGCAATTGATTTTAGTCAATAATTTAAGGCATGGATACAATTTGAAACATCTTTAGATTAAACTGTTTCAAGTAACAAATACAACTAAATTACTAAGTTATGTTTTTTTTCTTCCTAATAATTGTTTAGTATATTCCTACTTTGTTTGTCGTTCATTAGGTGGTGAAAACATCAACATATAATTAGTATTAAGAACAAATTTCAAAGGTGATCAGCAATTGAAATGACGGCACTAATAATATTGTATTATTTAGATTATTCAGTATTGAGTAAACAGCATGATATGCAATTAACTCACCTTTAAATTCTATACGTGGTGGTATTTTTACTTTTTCAGGGTGAAAACAATTGTTTTCTAACTTCAGATGGCCCATTTTGTGGTAATCAGTTAACTGAAGAAGGTGAAGAATGTGATTGTGGTTTCACCAGAGCTAATTGCCATGATAAATGCTGTCATCCAAGAGATTCAGCTAGTCCATGCAAGCTGGTCAACAGTGTTTTCATAGATCATGCCCAACGTACTGTGAGTTTTATGCATATGCACTTGTGTTTGTTTTAAACTGGACGCTAGTCAATTTCAATAGAGCGTTTATCTTTGTATGTCTAATTTTAATATTTTTTCTATGATTGGATTGGCCTCTAAGTACGAGTTTTGCAGTACCTTTTTTGAATAATTGTTAGTTACTTTGACGTTGTAATTCTCAATATTCTGTGTTCTTTTGTCATTATTTTAAATTATTTGATCTATGCATCGATTATTGTGTTAATAGAATTCATTCAATGATTAAATAACTAGTTTTTTTATTGGAATAATTCTACATTTTAAATTACGATTATTTAATGAACTTCTAATGGTTAGTCATGATAGTTCTAGATATGTTTTATTGTTTTAATTGCATATCCTATTCATGACATCATTCAAATGACCTCTGAAGCATGTAGCTCACCAGCTTAGTAAATTTTTATGTACTGGATAGGTTATGAAACCACTCTGTGCATAGAGAGTAACAGGAAGCAAACTTGTAAGAATTATACACATATTTCATCCGAATGTTAAACGCGAACACCATTAGGGTACACAAAAATTATGTTGCATAATTGAAGTGGTAACATTGTCAAGAAGAAGAATAAGAGGGTAGAAGTCACAATCTGTAGATAAAAAAAAGGACATTTGGAAAACCGAAAACTCACTTTAAAATTATGGTCAAGCAAACCTTCTTCCAATGTGTTCTTATATGTATCGATTTACTCAGTATAAAATTAGTTTATTTCATTTTCAGTACACCTTCATTGTAATAATTAATGCACTGTGTTCGGGTGATGATCACCCAGTTAGTAAGTTTTGTAATTAATAAGAATTGAATAATCGATATATTGCAACAATAACTTGAATGTAATTTAATTCCTTTAGGATCTTTCTTGTGCATCTTCTCTACTAGGCTTCTATCTTTTACAGTTGTGCGGGGGATTACCGTTGAACTATTGTGTATTAGTTATTTCAAAAGTTAGTCACTCAGTTATAATCGACGTAGAACATGGCACTTATGTGTATTGGTTCAGGTGCCCAAACCATATAAGCACTGCAACATGAAATTATCAAGAGAAATACTAGAGTAGTAAAAACAGTAAAAGTATCAATGGTAGCAGAAAGCATTAAGTAGGAATAGTATGACTCAAGAAGATTCAGTGAGTTTGGGGAATAAAAGGTATAATACAATTTGAAACTCCCGTTTTCCAATGTAAGCCCGAAATTTAAGGTGTTTAGTAAGAACACCATGATAATTGCTTAGCCACTGGGAATCCGGTGACAACATAATCTACTTCCACTGCCTTCGCCGATTTCTGTCAATAGAACAGCATCAATCATATCCAATTACAACCTTTACGTCTTCATTCAAATAGGCAAGTTAATCACTTTATTGTTATGTTCAGAAACGTTCCAACGGGGAAGGTGACCATCAAAGAGGTGCCTGTTTATCTACCATACTGCATCGAACCCTCAACTACCAAATGGTGCTTCTTCAGCAAAATCTCTGTGGTAGAAAATTGTGTACACGTTTTGACTCTATCCTTCCAGTGACTGCTGACGATTTCTAACGAAACTGATTTATAACGAGACAGTTCAACCAACATTATGAAAGGACTCTGTGTAGATTATTCTGGCAAACACCCTAGATAGACAATCTCTCGAATTTCTCTTTCTGGGTAAAGTGATTAGCAAGATAAAAAGTACTAACATCCAATCTGGTGTATCGTAACTGTAGGTTTAAAAAAATCAGTTTGGTGAGAATATCAAGACTGTTTAGAATCAGAAATAAGATATTCACAGTAGACTCGTCCAGTGAAAATCTCGAAATTCAGGTGTTAAAACTTTCATATTAGTTCCATTCTGTTATAGTTGTACTCAAACTTCAATCTTTATGGTAATGAACTTTTCCTCAGGTTCAATGCTCACCTACAGCCGGCGTTTGTTGCACCGAAAATTGTCAATATCGCCCAGAAACTCATATGTGTCGCCCAGCTGGGGAATGCCATCGATCATCGAATTGCAGTGGAAGAATGTCTAAGTGTCCACCTGTTGACATTTTACCAGATGGTACTCTTTGTCAGGTAGGTAACTATGCTTTTAAGGCTGTTATACTGACCAAGTTTCTACCTTGTATTTCTATTCTATCGATATGTGTATGCTATACTATACATTCGGTCTCAAATAATTCTTCATCTAATTTGAATTATGCTATACACCAAACCCCTTTATGATGACTGTATAATTTACTGTGGTAATTGCAAGTGTGGAAATCATCTAACTTCAAAAATGCTAGTTAAACTTATTAAACAAAATTCAGGAAACCGTTTGTCAGAGGTATAAGCTTGAGTGTTATCATGATTATATGGGCAATTGTCACTTTCCAGTTGCTCACCTCATGAAAAGATACTCCTTTTTGAGGTGCCTGAAAAAGAATCCGATTTAGTAGTGATCTTAACAATACAGGAGAGTGACCATAAAACCTGAAAGAAAACTGCTTAACGATTGAAGTCATTCACAATTTTTTCATGATTAGTTTTTAATTTGTTAGCTCCTTATTTTCTGAGCCTTACTGCCAATATTAGAGAAATACTACTGTGATCTAGGTTATCCGTGGAAAGCACCTTAATGCCGCTGCACCATATTGCATTTGGTAGTAGAATTTAACCCTCAGACTTACGATTTACGGTTTTCAGTCTTATCTCTATGCAATAGATCAACCTATCATAGTAGAACCTCAAGGAATAAGTTTTTCAGCTAATGCATCTTGATTGGGTCGTCACAATACCTAATCCCGATCACCACTTCATGGTAGAAGCTACGGTATGGATAAACTATTTATAGTTCGCCTTCAACATTATTTCTGTAAAAATCCTTACTGGGTTTACCAATTAATCAATCATTTGTTTCATCTAAAATAGTCATTAGTGTATTACGAATTCGAACGAGTCGGGTAACGTTTGAACTCTTTTTCTTTTTAACTCATTTTAAATTTAATTTACGTATTTTACTGTCACTATTTACCGTATCAAATCATTTTTTTTAGGATGGTACACGTGTTTGTAAACAGGGTCAGTGTATTGGTTCAATATGTGAGCGTATTCCTGGTTGGCATGAATGTTCTTTTACTCGAGATAAAAAAGTCGTACCTGAATTAATGTGTTTCGTCGGATGTAAGCAGAATATTTCCGGTGCACCATGTATCAATTCTTTTCAGTTAGAAACAGTAAGTTTTCCTCACCGTTTCGCTCGGATTTATAATATAAGTATTAATGGTGCAGTCTTATTGGATTTGATTCTAGACTTTTCTGTACAATTCAGCGTTTTCATTCAACCTTTATTTTACTCATTCTTTGGTTTTTTTTTCTTTTCAGTACTCATAAAGTCATACTAAACTATGTAGAAATCTTGGATATTAATGTTACTAATGTTTGTTTTAATGTTCTTCTTGAAACAATCCTTAAAATCACCCGACTATTGCTTTTGGCTTTTTGAGTTTCTATTTGTAATTCTTTCTGTTACATTCAATAAGTCGGCTTTAACGTATTCATTGGTTTTATTGTTGTTTAGAGAAAATCCTAAATTTTCATGTTATCAATAATAATAGTTGATGAAATTAATTCATTTAAATTAACTTGTACATAGTTTCTTATTTTCTATTGTTTCATACTCGACAGAGGTCTACTAAGATTACCTAATACTAATAAAAATTATAGTAATAAGTGTTTGTAGGATAATCCACTTGATATTACACTTATTTGTACTGCTTTCATGCACAATTGTAGTCAGTAGTTGAAAATCCTTAAGATATATGACTCGAAATTGACCACAGTTGTATGCATTCTTTATTTTTCTTTAAATTTTAAGCTAACAGTCATTAAATTATTCGTAATTTTTATTATATAATAAGTGAAATTACTTTGGTTGAATTTTGTATATAACGCCACTAGTTTCTAACTTTTATTTGGTCAGTTGAATGGTGATTCAATCTTCTAAAATTCATTACGCTACCCCTTATTCATTACAAAATTCTATCACTCAATTAAACTATATTTCTCATAGTTTTACATCACAGACTGACCTGAAGTTTAGACAACTATCGACAATCAAGAAGCAGCTGTTGCTTGCTTTTCAATGGTTGTCTAACTTAAGATCAGTCTGTGATGTAAAACTATGAATATTCAACAATTCCCTCAATCCTTACTATACATGTTGTTTCTTTTGTAGATTTTGTTTCCCATAAACATAAATATTATTGTAAGCAAAGATGGATAGTGGATAGCAGTGGAATTCAGGACGCGCGTTTCGTCCCATTTGGGACTCGTCAGCTGAATGTACCGGCATCTCAGAGTTGATGTTCACTCTGAGACTCGAACCCAGTACCTTTCGCTTCAAACGCCATCGTGTTATTCATTCAGCTACTGAGTCCTGATAGCCACTTGCTTGTGCAATGGGGTGAAGTTTAAATTCAATTAGTATTGTTTGTTTGAATCTTCCCATTGATGTTTAGAGACTGATCAGTTACAGTCCTAAACATCAATGGGAAGATTCAAACAAACAATACTAATTAAATAAATATTATTGTTTCAGCTTTCTTTTCACTTTACTATTTTTATTGTGAGAATTTTACCCATATTGTTTTATTAAATGAACTACAACCTTCCTTGTGTTGTTTCACCATTTTCTTTCAGTGCTCATTACTTTTCTGTTGTGTTATCGATGCTGTTTATGTTTATAATGTATGGAAATGAGATGAAAATGTAAAATTGAGTATTATATTCACTATCGTATAATCAATTTTCCCGAAGTTTGTATTGAAAACTATGCACAGAATTTCGTGTATAATTATTTGCTTTCCTGTTCAGCATTTACAAAATTTGTTTTTGTTGTACATGTATGGAAAGCTAAACTAATTAATTCGCCTTCGAGGTGATCATGTTTCTGAGATAAGTCATGATTATGCGATAAGGCAGATACATTTAACTTAAAACTCCCTCATACCCTAAACTTTGAAAGCAAAATCAATCATTCAATCTATGTATCATGTATTTTGACGTATTTTTCCCTTCTGTAATTTATCAAAATTTTCCAACGTCAATGTAGTAGTTACATTATTTGTCACTTCATATCAATGTAGTTCTTACCCACTTGAATAATAAGCTAATATTGTCCCAAATAGGAAATACTGTGGGACATAGTTTCCCTTTTATATTTGCACAATTGTCAACCTCCAAAAAATAGTCTCCAAGATAGTCTCCCCAAAACATTTTTCTTAGTGCAAAATTGTAAGTTGCCGGTAATAAGTTTGAATTATTTTCAATCTGGTAGCCAAATTTGACTACACTTAAAAGAACATAGTTACACGATTAGTAAAATCAGCTGGTGCTCACAGGAAGGCTCACAAAAAGATGTGGTTTTTTCCCCACTGTTGTTGACGTGGTTTCCTGGATACGGATTCTTAGATCTTGTACTGACACCGGCTAAACTGCTGAACTTTATGCATTTATATATTATATATGTATTTATCATATTTGAAAGCGTGAGTCAATTGAGGCTAGACCACCATAGAAAACCTGGAAACACTGGACGGTCGTTTCGTCCTATTATGGGACTCCTCAGCAGTGCGCATCCACGAACCCGCTCTCGCGAGATTCAAACCCAGGACCAACCAGTCTCGAGCCGGAGCCCTTAACCGATAGACCACTGAGCTGGCATCCAACGGTGTTAATGTCTAACTTCAACTGATCCACGAAGTTGAGCAACCATTCACCAATTGTCTTCAGTGAGTTCCTATCTCACAACAGACGTGGTTTTGAACTCTCGCGAGAGCGGGTTCGTGGATGCGCACTGCTGAGGAGTCCCATAATAGGACGAAACGGCCGTCCAGTGTTTCCAGGTTTTCCATGGTGGTCTAGCTTCAATTGACTCACGCTTTCAACTATGATAAATACTAAATCTCCACAAAACCCCTTCTATAATTAATATATGTATTTGTCGTTTTATGCGTTTAGAAATATTCTCGTCATTTATAATCTAAAGTATGATCACATAAAATTTAAATAGTAGTGTCTGACTTTCTTTACACTAATTTTAACAAAAGTTTGGTTTGTGTTTGGGCTAAAATTGTTTCAAATATATTGGGGATGTAGTTGAGAAAGATTGTGATATCGTGGGCTCAATTTTTATTGCTCATAATAATGCATCAATATGAATTGTTCTAAATGAGGAGTTATAAGACATTAACATTTTGAATAGAAAATAGAAGTGCTTCATCTAAACATTTTTGTTGTAAAAACTTTAGAAATTATACTCACGGACATTTGATTGTGAAATGCTATTGTTGCATATTCCTGGAATAATATTAATTTCGAAACGATCTGAAGTATTGAGTTAACGTACAGTGTCTTTGTCTAACTCATGGTTTGTCATGGTACATTTTCCTAAATTTTTTTGCCGCATTAACCGTTACAGGTTTGTTTCTTTTCCACTTAGTTTAGATAATCTATTGTAATTTATACAGTATTTTGACTTTTAATTATTGCATATCGATTTTTAATATTATTATTAGGAGCTAGATTTAAGAGCGAAATATCCTCAGTTGGCTGTTGAAATTTTACGTAATGGGCGCGGCATTAAATTACCTCCTGGAGCTCCCTGTGATAACTATCGGGGTTATTGTGATGTTTCCATGCGTTGTCTCTTAGTTGATGCAGAGGGACCACTTTCTCGATTAAGAAACTTGGTATTCAGTCCACAAATGTTGCAGAAAGTTAAGACATGGATAACGGTAAGTTTACTATTTATGGTGATATAGGTTTGTTATGTCTCTCATTTACTAATTATTATTGTTTGTACTTTCCAAATTTTTTTCTCATTTTTTTTCATTTATTTCACTCCTTTTGTAGATTCATTGGTGGGCAGTTATACTTATAGCCTTAGCCGTTATTATAGGTGCAGTTACTTTCGTTAAAATCTGTGCCTTTAATACTCCACCTGTTCGTCTAAATAATGTGAATCGTACTATGCCAAACCTGACTCCCTTTTTAACCTCCAGTCATATCCCCTCTGGTTCTGTCGATCAACCTGTTGTTTGGACTGTTACAAGTCATCCTGTAAAATGGACTGGTTCGTCTAATCCACTACGTACTAGTCGTCTCGCACGCTCTTCACAGAGACAGTCTCGTAAATCTAAAGATATTAAAGGAGTTATTCGCTACCCAATAACTTCTGAGAACATTTTTATTACACCCAGTGCACCTATAGATCCCCTGGACTTTCCTCCATTCAATGCACGTCAAACACCGTTACCTGTGTTACATCCGAATCCATTGTCTCTTGTCGAGCTGCCTGTGCAACCTATTCCATGTAACAGTAGAAATCCTAATAATTTTGAACCAGCTGGTGCCAACTCAAACGACTCAAATACTGAATTTCTGCAACAGAATAATTCTTATCAAAAGTTAGTGTATAATTTTCCCATGAAACTTCTAAATTGAAATTATTGTTGAATGTTAACATTAATTGTAGATTAGGTATCTGCCTTCTCATACTACTTATATTAAAAATCACTCAGAAATTTATGATTAGAATGTTTATTTTGTACCATTTATATTGAAATATCAATACCATTTTACTTGAAGTAATTCCCTAAATTTTAAGGACCATTACTACATTTACCATGAACTCATGATTAGGTTAGTTGTCCTCAGTCTTTTTTTATATTAAAATTAAGACTTTATTTTTAAGTGAGCTTCTCAAAATTTGTTTTGCGAATTCAGTGGGTCAGCCTTCAATCTAATGGAGGTACATCCAGCTAACGAGTCGCGAATAGGATGAAACACTCATCCTGGATTCCGCTGCCAGCCACCATGAATCTGTGGCTGTAATGCGTGTGACTGAAGACAATCCGCATATGATGCACATATTTCAATAAGAGACTGATTAATTGCAGTCCTAAAAATCAATTGGAAGGTTCAAACAACCAATACAAAAGTGAATTAGAACAACCTCATGTTTTTATACAACAAGCTGTAACACCAACAAAAGATATGGGGAAAATGCAACGCCTAGTGTAGGTGTAAGTGTGGTGTGTGCTACTGATGTCGATTGATATAATTAGTATGTGTCATCGATAGAAAATGAAATACCTGGCAGCAGAAGGTTAAGAAGATCGAAGTAAAGAGAACGAGGACAGTAAATGATTGCTGTGTAAATGAAGGAACAGTGAAGTCTGAGACAATTGATTGACATTTTGCAAACGAAGTATTTAATGTATGGTTCTCAGATTTTACTAAGATGTTCTGTAACTTTTTGTCCACGTACGTTCGGTTGTCCCCCACTTCTGTTCTTGTTCACTGCATAAGTAAACCCCTAACTTGTATTGGTATAGAGTTATAGATAACAATAGACGAAAACTGAGAAAAAGTGTCTAAAGCATAACAACTGCAATAATATTTTATTTTTACAGAAAAAAAATCCCTCAATTGTCTACAATAGTCATTTGTGCTATTCTGAGAGAGGTGAAAATTATCTAATGCACAATTATGTACTTACCTGAAAAATAAAATTTAAGAATACAGATATACAATATGCTAAGTTAAATTGTTAAAAATTAAATACACTTGAGATACAGATAATATAAAAATAGTGCATCATCTATGGTTGGCAGTCGAATGATTCGAAATGACAAGAAATTGAAATCCATGAAAATATAATATAAATTTAAATTTTAAAAAGACCCATTCCTGAAACTTGTGTCGACCAATTTGTTTTAAATATTGTACATCGTACTTCACAATTTTTTAACTTGGTACTTCCTGTCAGAAAGATATGGGAAAAAATGTAGTCAGTTAGTTTTTATATATTTAAGAAATATTTACGTAGTAGTTGATTAATGTTGTTTTTTTGTAGTCTTAGGTGCAAATGTCTATGTGAAACATTAATTACAGTTAAACGTTTTACTGCTCAAGAATAATTCAGTTACTTTAGACATCTGATACTAAATTCTGCGTAATTATCCAAAGTGATAAGTTTTTAGATCTTGTGCTTATGATTCACTCTTATAATTATATAAGTGGTGAATCTAAGACACAAATGGACTTCTGGCTGCTTGTTTAACTTTTGAATCTTTTAGTGAGGTTTTGAGGTCAGAGTTTTTCCGTGGTCTCTATAATATAGTAACGAAGACTCAGAATCGATCACTTTTTGTATTAGAAATATTACAGTTTCAATGTATGCAAATGAAGCTAAAAAGATATTAGTAGTCAGGTAGTCATGTTAGATCTTCACTGATCAATATTATAAATTCAAGACACATAAGTGAACGCTTCTGTATCACTGGGTGGTTAGTATTTGAACTTAATAATAGCTATTTATGGGAGCCATGTTCCAGTATGTTTACTCCAAAAACGTATTTTTCCTGGGTTACGGAAAGGTTTTTCCAATTACAAAGAAAGGAGAGTAGCTGAAGCGTTCCATATAATGTTTAATCGCACTGCTCTCAATAGAAAGGAAGGCCTTACCATACATCCTACTTGGACTATCTATCCTAGTCACCAAATACCTTAACAATTTTATTGTATTTGGTTTGACATTCCTAAATTTACATGCATTGAACGATGTACTTTGCCTTTAACTTGGCCATTTATTCGGATTATTAATTTGGATATATAATTGTAGAACCTGAAGAGAATTTATCGAAAAGAATATTCTTCGTCCAAATATTAGTCTATCCTTTGTCATTATAATGGTCACACATTTTCATCATTAACAGTGCATACATACACACAAAATTACATACATGTCGCTTATGAATTACCTTGACCGAAATGAAATTACATGCCATTGATTTATTCAGACCTGTTTTTTGATTGATCACCTAATATTCGTGTTGTTACCTTCTACTATTGAAACTTGGATTAATGTTAATTTGATTGTAAACGTCAAAAGATCTAATTTTTCTACTCATTGGGATATTACAAATATATATATATATATATATATATATATATATATATCTCATAGTTGAAAGCGAGAGTCAATTGAAGCTATACCACCATGGAAAACCTGGAAACACTGGACGGCCGTTTCGTCCTATTATGGGACTCTTCAGCAGTGCGCATCCACGAACCCGCTCTCGCGAGATTCGAACCCAGGACCTAGCAGTCTCGAGCCAGAGGCCTTAACCAATAGACCACTGAGCTGGCATCCAACGGTGTTAATGTCTAACTTCAACTGATCCACGAAGTTGAGCAACCATTCACCAATTGTCTTCAGTGAGTTGATATCTCACAACAGACGTGGTTTTGAACTCCACTGGTCACTGCTTCTCACTAGAGCTCCTAGATATACTTCTCGAAGTCACTAGTGAGCATATGATTATATTAATTATAGAAGGGGTTTTGTGGAGATTTAGTAATATTAATATATATATATATATATATATATATATATATATATATATATATATATATAGTAGATAATGTATAATGGGTGGATGAGTTGCATTCATTTTAATAAATAGTAACTGAACTATTAGTTTTCCAAGTCTTATTGACTCAGTCCAATGGAGTTTTTATTTTCTTCAATGATGTCTACTTTTTCTTCCAATTCTAGACCAAACAATGTGCTCATCCCTTCAACTGTAAAACAATCAAATGATGTTAGAAAACCGAAAATTCAATCCAAATTACTTTATGACAAACGTAAGAAGAAGACACGACCAGTTCCTGAATGTGCAGTTAACAGTAATGTTTTTTTCCCTGAAATTTCAATCCCGATGGATCGTCCTAATGAAGAAAATGAAATAGCACATCCTGAACCTGAAAACAGGGTTTCTGGATCTCAGTATCTTCGTAATGATTCTAACGGTATTTCACCACCATCTTACGATGATTTGTAAGTTAGCCTTTCAAATACATATTTACACCTATCACTTATCATGGAGGAGCATAGGTTGCCCACCAGCATTCTCCATCCAACTCTGCCCTAGGCAGTCATTTCCTTTTCATGTCTGCTTCAAATTCCCGGCACAGTGTGTTCTTTGGCCTTCCACTTTTCCTTTCCCATTCAGGATTTTAAGTTAGTGCTTGCCTTGTGATGCAGTTTGACTATTTCCACAATATATGTTCTATCCATTTCCAAGGTCATTTCCCAATTCCCTCCTCAACTGGAAGTCGGTTTGTTCTCTTCCACAATAGGTTGTGGTGCTTCTCCAAGTTTCAGATCCGTACAGTAGGACTGTCTGGACGTTCGTATTGAAGATTGTGACTTTGATCTTGGTTGACATTTGTTTTGAGTTCCATATGATTTTCAACTGTAGGAATGCTTTCCTTGCTTTGTCAGTCCTTGCCTTTACGTCTGCATCAGATCCTCATCGTTCATCGATGATGCTAACCAGGTAAGTGAAACTTTCCACCTGTTCTAGAGCTTCTCCATTAAGTGTTATTGGTTTGTTGTTCTCTGTGTTATATTTGAAGGTGTAGCTTTTTCCTTTGTGTATGATGAGGCCTACTGATGCAGAGGCTAATGCTAAATTAGTTTTCTTCGTCTGTATTTGTTCGCGTGTATGGGATAGAAGAACTAGGTCATCTGAAAAGTTCAACTCGTGTAACTGCATCCAAGCTGTTTATTGTATTCCATACTTCCCCTCAGATGTCATGGTCTTCATAATTCAAATGACCACGAGAAGAAAGAGAAAAGACGATTTTAGGAAGCCGGTCCTCACTTGAAATGCATCTGTCAGCTGTCATCTGTGCACCACTTCGCAGTGTGGTCCGTCGTACGAATTCCATATAACGTGAACGATCTACTGAGCCACACCATAGTGTGGAAGAAGGGTTCATAAGGTCTTCCTACCGACACTGTCAAACGCTTTGTCATAGCCAGGGAAGTTGATGTATGGTGATGAGTTACATCCAACTGATTGTTCAACGAAAATCTGCAGTGTCGCAATTTGGTTTATGCACGACCGATCCTTACGGAATCCATCCTGTTGATCTCTAAGTTGGCCATCTACTGATTCTTTCATCCGGTTCAGCAACACTCTGCTGAAAACTTTTCCTGATACTGACAACAAACTGATGCCTTTGTAGTTCTCATATTTGCTCTGATCTCCTTTCTTTGGTATCTTGATGAGGTATCCTTCTTTCCAGTCTGTCGGTGTCACTTGTTCCTCCTCCCAAATCTTCTTGAATAGAACGTGGAGCATGTTTGCAGTTACTTCAATGTCTGACTTCAGTGGTTCAGGTGGTATATTGTCAGGTTCCGCTGCTTACCCACTCTTGATTTGTCTGATTGTCAACCTGATTTCTTCGATCGTTGATGGGGTGTCATATGTAGGAAGGTCTGTGTGTGCTGTTTCGATGTTTGGTGGATTCAATGGATCTGGTCTATTTTAGAGTTCCTCTAAGTATTCTACCCATTTTTTCTCTATCCTTGAATTTCAGTGATTGTCTTAACTTCTTTGTTTGTCCTTGACTGATCTCTGGTTTACTATATTTCCCTGCCAGTTACTTCTTCGTGCCATATAGTTGTTTAATATTTCCTTCTCTTGTCGACTTTAATGTTCTCCCTTCTTTGCTTGTTTGCTTTAGTGTGTCTTGACTTTCTCCGTTCTTGTTCGGCTGTTGTTAATTGTTGTCTTCTTGTACTTCCTTTCCTGAATCTTGCCCATGGTTTCGATAGAGATCCATTTCTTATCATGATGTTCGTTGGGGCACAGAACCTCCTGACACGTTGAAGCTAAGGCTTCTTTGATCCCTCTCCAGTTGTCCTCCATAATAGTTTCTCCTTCTTTCAGTAGATCCTGTGAGGCTTAAAAGCTTGTTGAATGCACCTAAGTTTGTAAATCTCTCCCTACTTTCGTTTTTTCCTCCTAGTCCATGTTGTCCCATGATATCTTCATAACCGTTATTGTCCGTTCTGACTCTGACGTTTAGATCTCCTATTTAGATGGTCATGCCTTTTCTTGAACGCTTCATTATGATGAGTCATAATTTTTCTGCAAGAAGATCCTTCAACTTAGTGGTCAGGGTTTAAATAATTTAATTTGTTTATTCTGGTTGGCGTTTTTTTTATCAAGGTTGCTTTTTTACGGGATGAGGTTACTGACCTCCATTCCCAACTCTCCTTTATCCGGGTTTGGGATCGGCAGTATTCCTAGAAAAGTTACAGGTGGAGTTAGCCTTTTAAATATTTCTGTATTTTTGACGTCAGTTTTACTCTACGTTGTAACAGCTTCGAAAGGCCTATACTGAAAACTAAGAAATACCCCTAATTCTCCGTACTTTTGTGACTCTTACCCAATGACCACTTCACCTGCTTTCGTTTTTTTGATTTGCAAGTGTCAGGGTTCTACACGTTCGAGTGCCGACAGTTGTATACAGTATTCTACCGTAATCGAGTAGAGGATGTAACCTCTAAACGTGTGTTTACTGGTAACTGAGTTATTTAGGCAATGTAGTCCAAATGGAATGCCCACATCTGTTGTTTAACTCTAAGCCTTATTGATACCGACCAATGCTTTTGTTACTCAGTCAGCAGGTTATAACGAATTTAGAGCCTGGTACAACTAAATTCATCTTAAATTCTCTTGTAATCTTAGACTAGGTTATTCCGGTTATAAAATTTATCTAAATATTCAGCTATGAGTAAGTTTACATAAACATTATGGATTAAACTTTTTGTTCTATCATTGGTGGTTATTATCCTGATAACTAAATGGTTTGCTCCAGCTTGCCATACCACATTAGTACAAAGAGATGAGGTTACTAATATGTGCGGGAAAAAATTGGAATAATCTATTAGCAGTAATAATGACTGGGCATTGAGAATATCATTTGAAAAGACAGTGGTAGAGTATGTATGAAGTAACATTGGGCTTTTAGTGGGAGAAAGACAACGGCGTTTGTAAGTCATGGCTTAGTGGTCAAGACGTGCGACTCTTTGCCTCAGTTTCAGTCAAGTGAGTAATATCACTAGTCCTCACTCTTAATTTGTGTTTCAAAGACAAGTATGTTAATAAGTACGTGGTAAGTTGCATGCCACCTCAAGTACTCAACCACTGAATAGTGTTATCACACAGACTCAAACCAAATAGTTTACATCTCACATGTTTCGGTCTAAGAGTTTATGACTTCATGGACTGATACTATTTTTTAATTTGGCTCCCTTTAGCTTTCTTTCAACATACTGCACTAGCAAGCATCACTTATCGAGATAGTGGGGATAGTGGTTGGGAATATGTGATACTCATTCCAACTATATCAGTCGATTACGATATATAGTTTCATCAACGGACTTATCATCTTTGCCTGGTACCTTATGCTTAACTTGATCGATGTTCACTCAGTTGTTCTACAGTATGATTACACTGATGTTATTGTAAAACCATCCAAAATAGGTTTATCGTCAATTTCTGAATCTGTCTAATTTTGTTAAAACTGGTCATTTTTGTAGTTTCGTAACAATCAACTGTTGAATCAGCTAGAATTTAGTACTCAATGCGTAGTATTGGTCTATATAAATTTATTTCAGCATACATTTAACAAAAGTTGTATATCATTGAATCTTTTGTGTAAATGGTAAATATCAAGAAGAATCATTTGAACATTTTAAAGAAACTTTCAATTCACATTTTTATTTTTTTATAAGTATAGATGGATGAAATGCATTGTTTGGAAAAATTAAAAGACTTCTGAAACACTAGATATCTTTATCATACATGTTAAAGGTTCAAAGCGTTTAGTTTGTAGGAGGTTTTTAATTTGTTTAATTATGGTCACTAATCACTTGAGTTTTCAGACTGTCTAAATATCCCCCCAACATGTTTTTTTGTAAAAGTAAAGTAGTGCTTTTTACTCCTGCTTATTATTTGTCTCTAATTTCAGGGTACAATCTAAATAAGTAGAGCTATTTGTTTCATTAATTTGTTCAATTGCGATCGACAATGAAAATTTCTTTTAATCGATCGTAAGATGGAAGCGACAACGACGAAAAGAAAACTAGATCTTATAATTCCATATTTTTCTTTATTAAGACAATGACTGCATTTTACCAGACATTGCCTACTATTTTAATTATTTATTTAATTACTGTGTCTTCCATCCATCATTGTTCTTTCGAAATTCATTCATCATATGTTTTCCGTTGTCACCATATTAAAAAATTCTTTTCAAAATTTTTTCTTTTCTCTTTTTAACTGATTCTTTCAGTGTATAAAATTCACACTAACACTACAACACTCACTATAATTATACAAACATTTCATGAGATGGAATAAAATCATTTAAGAATTATTTAAGACCAAGTTTCTTTGTTTTGTTTCAATGTTTTATCAACTGAACTATCATTTCATCTATTCATATAATATATCTAACTTTTTCCAATCTTTGTCACTTACTTCCCTCTTTCTTTGTTAAGTTGTTAAATGGATTGTTTTTTATTTTCTCAAATTGTTTTGTTGTTTAGTCTAGTTTCAAAATGCTGAATGACGAAAAAGATTTCATTTGGTTTTTCCTCTCAGTTTTGCTTTTCGTTTTGTATATTTATACTTTTTGTTTTAAATTGGTTGGTTGGTTTCTTTTAGTTATATACACTGTGCACTGATGATGTAATGTAGATCTTTTTCTTTATCTTGATTAATCATTGTAAAATAATAATCATTCGTGATTCTTATCATGTAATGTAATAAGTAATAATCTAATGTTCGATCCCATTTGTGTTTTAATACAGTTGAGTTTAAATTCACCTAGTATTGTTTGTTTGAATCTTCCCATCGATGTGTTAGGACTGCAACCGGTCAGTCTCTAATTAGCATATGTACTGGGTTCGAGTCCCAGAGTGAACATCAACTCTGAGATGCAGGTACATCCAGCTGACGACTCCCAAATGGGACGAAACGCGCGTCCTGGATAGTTGAGTTTAGTTAATGTATTTATAATGAATATAAGAACGAAACAAATAAAATAAAAGTGATGATCGTTGTCTGTATTATAAACTGTATAGTAATCGTTGGAATCATAAGATTGATCTTAACTCGGCTTTTGTGTTGTCTAAATGTGTAAAAGGGTGTATACTGAGGTTTATTGAAGCCTTAGCCATAAGAAAATTCAAATCCCGTTTGTGTATTCAAAAACAGTTTGTTCTCTCCTTAAACCTACCCTGGTAATATATGCTTATTATCTAGAGTGATTAAATGTCAAATTGTTTTCCCATTGTGTTTATTATTATTATCCATTATTGTCCATTCTTACCCCATTTCCAGTCTAGTTGACCTTTTATTTATTATATATAAATGTTCCTAACAAGTATATGTGTGATCAGACCGTTCGAAATGTATTGCGCTAATATATCACATAGTTCTGATAATCTTCGTCTTCTTATTACATTATCAAAACATATCTTTTGTATCCAGTTTCCAATAAGATTCCGTCTACATGTTATACTCCTTCAATAACATCTTCAAACCCTAATCTTTCACATTAATGCTCAAACTCTTACTACTTCTACCACTATGGGATTTGAATCGATAACTGCATCTCTGTGCTAATGTGGTATGGCAACTCGAAATGATGTACGAAGTTCTACGTTGTGACTGACCGGCATTATATATATATATATATATATATATAGTCATTAGTTTTTTCATGATCGAGGAAGATCGATGCGAGTTTATCAAAACCTAGGATTCTTTAACTTAATGTGAATAAATACGTCGATTCCGTATGTCTAGATTTTCGGGGGACAATATTCATTCTGAGGTTGACTTCAGACCTTAAGGGTTAGCGAATTTGAGTAATTTTTCTATCAATCAACAAACAGTATGTTTCATTTGGTATTTACTACTTTCGTCCATTTGATTGTTACTTTCTTTTTACCTGGGGCCTAATCACTTTCATAACTGTTGTTTATTAGTTGTTTGTCAAGCGTTTGAAATAGTCATTTACTTTGAAATAGAACTATACAGTATCACACGTATTCATTCACCTAATTGAAAACGTTTACATTATATATATATATATATATACTATAAGGCGGTTATCATCATAGTAGAAGTGAGAGAGGTAAGAGAAAATGCTAAATATATGCATAGGATTATTATTATATTTTTCTCGACAGCTTTATATAATTTAAGACAAGAGTAGGACTGAAAGTTTTCAATTTTGAACTGTTTGTATTATTTGTAGTTTCTCAATATTTATTCATATCATAAAGCGTAATATGTTAGTTATCATCCTTTGTACGTATCCATGTTTGCGTGCGTGTGTCTGTGTGTGCAAATGTGTATGGTTCATATGGACTGATAGTTGTACATTATATATTCATCATTGTAAAATAAAAGTTATCTTTGAGTTGTTTTTTTCTAATATAACAGTTTTACTCTTTATGTTCACATACTTTCTGTAAATATGATAACATGCTTGTTAATTATTATTAATTAAGTGAATAAATACAGTTTGTTGTTTGTTTATTATTGTGTATGTACAATTTGTACAAACATCGTATGAAAAATGAAGTCGTTGTATAGATTCTATCTTATTTTGTTCTGATAATTAAGATTAGTTTAGTGGTATTTAATTATCAAAATATTTTCTTTATGTATTGACACTTGTACATTGGTATAGTTTTGTATCTAATTATGATATAATATAAAGTATGCTGATGCTGGGCACCGGTTGTTTGTTACTGTTTTTTTAGTGCGTTTAAGTAGTTACTTTTGAATACATATGTAAATGCTGATAACAAAATGAGCATATATGTCTTTGTGTGGAGGAGTGAAAAAGAACAAGAGAATTATCAGAACTGGAAAACAGAAAATCAATAAGATAAACTATGAATAATTTTGTTTTGTTCATTTTACCCGCTAGAAAAAAAAATCATGAGGTCAAATAGTTTTAAGTGTAGGTTAATGACCTCATGGATTATTGTGCTTTTTTTTGATTATCTTCTCTATTTGTATAAATGCATTGCTTTCTATTGATTAAGAAAATATATTAGAGAATTTCTCGTTTTGAAAGTTTTTCAAAGAATCTTTTGTGGATGAAATCATTTGTACATAACGTTGACATGATTCACAGCATTGATAACGATATATTGTAAATTTGCATAGTTCTACTCTCTTTGAACAGTGTTTAGACATGTCAACACATCCTAGAGTACAGTAAGAAGAAGAACAAAGCCAATAGAATTGACTACAATGAATTTAATAATTTCACCATTAATGTGATAAATAGAGAAGAATGAGTTATTAAATGTATCTAAGATGTTTTGTGTATTCGTATATATATATATAAATCGACAAATAATACACTATAGCGAAAGCACTTGAAATAATATGTACAAAAATTGTCTGATCTATCGAACGATAATGTAAATTAGCTTCTAACCTCGTGTTATAACCTGGCTCCTGGTTGTTCTACTAATGTAAACTTCTAATGCTTTATCAGTTCAATTAGGCAGTCCAAAAGCAAGAAAAGATAGAAATGTGAAAGGAATTTTTAACTTATGGATATTTATAGATAGACAAACTGTTCTGGAAGCTTGCAGTAGTTGAACAATGTGTTGTAGTCTTAATGTTGCGACTAACTAGTTTCCGTTTGTCACCCAAACGACTCCGTGCCCGATTCTCTACTCTTCACACTAAAGTTCAGCTTGTATCAGATTACCTGGAGAACGAGTTTTGTAGAGTTAATTCACTTTGTACTCCATCAGATCCTTTGTAGTGTAGGCAAGACAGGGTTTTCCTTGTTAGTTTCTCTTTTGATTTGATTTTCTAACTTGATAGAGCACAAATGAGTTTTTTACTTGGCTTTTAAGATTTGATTCGATTACGGAATTAACATGGCCGAAAATTGGTGCTTTGAGGGTTCCTCTACTAATTCCCATGAAACATAATTTAGAATCGATAAGTCTTAAGTATCCCATTGGAGTTGTGGATGCAGGCTATTGGGATATGTATATCAATATCGAGACTTCAAAGCATTGATCAGACCTGTTCGTTGTTCGTTATAGTTCAAGGTGCAGGCATAAAAGACGGCGTATTTCGATATGACATAAGAATAACTGGTTCAAATATCACATGAGGTGATGGAATTCAGAACGCAACCACTTAATAAGTCTGTCGAAACATGTCAGTGTCTTCAAAAATTAGTTGATGGTCTCAATCTAGGGTTTCAATTTCTGTTTATTTCCGTTCAATAACATGTTTCGATAAGTCTGTGTTTTGGTTCTAATTACTTTTGACGTTATTGCCACTTAACAAAACAGTGAACTGATTCATTCCACTTACCTAATTTACATGGAGGTACTTCGCATGATCGTATCACATCTGGAATAGCAAGTTGGTGGGAATAACACAATGAACCTGCCAATTCACCATTATGTGACCAAGTACACAGAAGGTGTCTAGCTTGAACACCAACTCCACCACATGAACGTGAGCACTGAAATAAAAATAAACGTCGTACTTTTTCCAATAATATAACTCCAACTGGCTTTAATTTAACTAGTAATACTTTATGACAATGAAAAAACTTGAAAATGTAAATAAGATAGTGTATTTTTGCTAATCTATAATTTGTCTCAATTGTTTTTCGAATTAGATTGTAGCTGAGTGCATCATATTCGAACTGCTTAAATCACTAAATCTTCACAGATTTGTTGACGGATTTACTATGGTGCACATACTTTATTTTTCTCGAATAATTTGTCGATAGCATCTGCGAAGAGATCTAAGTTGAATTGACCTTTTTGACAACTTAACAGAAAGTATTTGATTATCATACAACTTTTTCATTCATTGACTAAAGAAAGTAATACACTGAGTGTTTATTATTTTTACTACTATCGCTATGATTATCTGCATTTCAAACATTAAAGAATACGAGTTGAGGGAATATATTTTCCTTTTCAATTAGTTCCTCATCGTGGCTGTCAACTAATCTACAGGTTTTACAAATAAGTATAAAATGAATACCAAATAAATGATTCTACAATGCACTCTGAAGAAGTAACTTAGACTAACCTGAGAAACGTCAGAAGTTTAATTTTCCTTTCATTGGATATAAATAATAAATCATTATTTTTACTATTAAGGTATCTCAATATTTTCTCTAAGTATAATAATCAGTTAGGTAATGTTTGCAAGATATAAATGAAAACAAAGTTATATAATCAACTGATTATTGCAGCTGGTCGCACAAGACTAGGAATAGATTTGAATAAAATTGAAATATATGATCTTAATGTAAGGATCTACTGTTATTTGTAGTAATAGTACTGATGAAACGGATGCAAAGATAATTAGATTGGTAAACCAGTTTACTTAGGACCAATAATCATAAAATTAGAAATTTAGATTGAACAAAGTTGAGTAGCGTAAGTAAAATTTCTCGGAATCAAGTAGATGCCCAGAATCTATTTTGTCATGAACATTAAATAACTACTCCAGAATAGAGCCTCATCGTTTTATTCAAGATTCTAATCAACCTTGAATGGTGATGTTTAGGAATTCGATTATGTATTTCTCTGATTGTACAACGAACTTCCCAGGCACTTTTAAGCTGGTAAATATGCGTAGGGGTGACTCTGTTTCCTACATTATATGTACATGCACCCGATAAGATTTTTGTTTAAAGGCCCAATACAATTTAGTTATTTCAAATTAGAAATTCTCTGGTTGACTTTTAAGGGATCGGCTTATATTGATAATCAGATTCATTAGAAAGGTGACGATGATAACAACTAACTTACTTGAGACCAATTACTGACGTTCCATCGTACTTGACATATAGGGTTTTCACATTCCATGTTTGGTTTATCTAATTTATCGCAATATTTTGTGGCGACGGTTCTCTCACCAATCATACAGACTAAATTTCCACTAATTGAACCTTTACCAACATCTAAACACCGATCTGTACACTTGAAGTATTAAGAATTCATATAAAGAAATGATTTAGTTTCCAAAAAAACATACAACTTTAAGTTATCGACAAAATTTCAATCGTGTAATATAAAGAATAAAAATAAACAAATATGTGTACCACTGGATACCGGTCCACTGTCCAAACGTGAAGCATCTACGTTCAAAGGTCTTGAGTTCGGTCACCTGTAGTGCAATCGTACATGAACACTGCTAGGGAATCCTTTACTGGCAACAAATAGTTGTTCAGTGCTTCCTGATCCCCAATAGTTGTCTAGCTACGATCGATCCGTGATTTGAATTATGAAAAAATAAATCTGATAGTCATTTTTTTAATGTTTTATTTCATCCTCACTGAAAATCGGACAAACAATGTGCTTTATTGATTAATAGGGTAAAATTTATTGGATATTTCTGAAGTATGTCCATATAGTTTAACTTCTTAAGCTTTAAAGTGTAGATCAATTTCTGAACATACAACAAAGGTAACGAGAAGATTAATCAATTCACAAAGTATTTGGTTACAGATCATGCTTCTGTGCCTACTTCAATTTAAATAGATGCATAACGTCTTCTGTTTCATTCACATTGTGTCTTCAAAATCTAGGATCGATCCAATGCTTGGTTAGAATTATAAAGGCATTTAATAGGTATCTCTATGGTGCGTAAGTGGGTAAGTTATTCAGAAACAAATTTCAATACGATATCAAAACGTTTAGTCAATTTGTTGATATAAGGAAATTGGAGAACAAATCAGCGATAGTATTACATTCGATAGAATCGGGTCATACAATTGATTTCAATGGCACAAGAATCCTTCAAAAAGCGTATAATTCTTACAAAGAAAGACAAACAGCTGAAGCCTTATACATATGGGCAAATCCAAACAATATTAATAGGAGAGATGGAATACAATTAGCAGTGCCATGGCAGCTAATCATTATTAAGTAATAACCTGAACTCCTTAATGTTTTTATCTAATTCGTATTATCTAAGAATGACAACAATTGCACTCAATGATTCTAATCAGTTATCTTATCCGAATTTAATAAACAATTCATTGGAACTAGACCACCATGGAAAACCTGGAAGCACTGGACGGCCGTTTCGTCCCACTATGGGACTTCTCAGCAGTGCGCATCCACGAACCCACTCTCGCGGGATTCGAACCCAGAACCTACCAGTTTCGAGCCGAAGCCCTTAACCGATAGACCACTGAGCTGGCATCCAACGGTGTTAATGTCTAACTTCAATTGATCCTTCTAAATATAATCATATGCTCACTAGTGACTGACTTCAAGATACATGTCCGGGAGTTCTAGTGGGATGCAGTGACCAGTGGAGTTCAACCACGTCTGTTGTGAGATAGGAACTCACTGAAGACAATTGGTGAATGGTTGCTCAACTTCGTGGATCAGTTGAAGTTAGACATTAACACCGTTGGATGCCAGCTCAGTGGTCTATCGGTTAAGGGCTTCGGCTCGAAACTGGTAGGTTCTGGGTTCGAATCCCGCGAGAGTGGGTTCGTGGATGCGCACTGCTGAGAAGTCCCATAGTGGGACGAAACGACCGTCCAGTGCTTCCAGGTTTTCCATGGTGGTCTAGCTTCAATTGACTCATGATTTCAACTTTGAAAAATACTGAAATCTCCACAAATCCCCTTCTAAATTCATTGGAACATTAAAAATGATACATACATACAGTCAAAATTACGCTCTTCAAATTTCACCTTTTATATTTTTATTTTATTTTGTTTAATTATCTTAATTATCTTCATGTTATACATACAGTGACAGATATGATTCATATCATATATATTACAAATTGTATGTTTCCTTATAAATTCATTGATAAGAGACAATATCTATTGTGAATGTAATTTTTACCTCTCACCTCTTACATTTTTCTATGTTATATGAACACTCATCACTTCACATCACATATCTCTTAAACATACCTAGTTTAGACTTATTGTTAACGTTGATTGGATGACCTATTCAGTGTATAATGAACTCGGTGAACCATGTACCTATTTATATTCGATAATTTTGATGTTTGATTATAATTCCTTGAAAAAGCTTGACCCAGATTGCCAGGCGAAACGTTGGATTTAATTTAAAAAATTCATTCGCTGAAATTTTACAAAGATATTGTTCCTATTTAATTTGTTATCATTTATACTTTTTTTCTGTAGCACCCTTGTACCATAATTATGATGCCTTACATACCATAATTATTTATCACTGATTTTAGAATAAATTCTTTTCATTTGTTGATTTGTTCCTAAAGGCTAACTAATTTCTCATTAAATGTTTATACATTATATTGGATTGATTACTTTCAAAGTATGAAATTGTAAATAGTGTAATTTTTACTGTAGACTTTATTTAATTGTAGTAAACTTTGTTCTACTTTTGATAGAAAATTATTTTTCATAGTTGAAATCATGAGTCAATTGAAGCTAGACCACCATGGAAAACCTGGAAGCACTGAACAGCCGTTTCGTCTTATTGTGGGACTCCTCAGTGGTAGTGCACATCCATGATTTCGCCTCGCGAGATTCGAATGGTTACTCAGTTTCGTGGATTGGTTGAAATTAGACATTCACACCGTTGGATGCGAGACTGATAGGTCTGGGGTTCGGATCTCGCGAGGCGGGATCGCGGATGCGCACTGCTGAGGAGTCCCACAACAGGACGAGACGGCCGTCCAATGTTCCCAGGTTTTCTATGTTGGTCTAACTTCAAATGACTCATGATTTCAACTATATAGAATATCTCTTTTCTTACATATCCATGTAGTTACAAATAAAAAAACTAGGTATTTTTGGTGTGTAACTGTCTTTGTCCATATATTTATTTAGTTATATGAGACAATATATTTTCAAGTAATTAAAATGTCTCAAGTAATTATCTTGTGTAAAAATTGATTGATGTTCATTCACTAAATGGATTTTAATTCTGCCAATAATAAAATTTAGGCCTATAAAGTTATGTCAAGAAGCTTAAAATATACTCTGAGAACATTTATAAAGTATTTAACTGAAGTATAACTTGATAAAAGTATAGTCACTTATATTGGTTTTATTCACTTGTAATACTATAATGTACATTATGGTAACTCACAACAGATGTATCACGGTTTTCAACGAACCATGCTGGACATTTGTTACTTTCCAAACACTTTCGTGTACTTGGTGGTTTTGGCAATAGTTTATCAATGCATACTTGATCATTCAGTATTTGATAGAATCGACTATCAACTTTTTCACATCTGACGACACGAAATTGTTGTCCAGTTTGGCCACAACTTGTAGAACATGTACTCCATGGTCCAACAACCCATTGAATAATTTCATGATTTACAGCTATTGCCTTAGGATCATCACTGAGCATACCCTTGGTCCATAATCTGTTTCTTTGCACCCAATCATGAAACCCTGCTGCTGGAGTTCTAGCTGTTAATGTGACTGTGGCATTCATTGAACCAGCTATGCACGTCCAGTCACCTTCGTCAATGAGACGGAAACTTCGTATGTGTAGCCTTCCTCGTTTATCTACCCTTATTCTATCAGATATTGCTCCAGTATAGGCTAATATTCCATGGTTTGGGTTAGCCCATTGTAATTCTTGTGCTGTAAAATATTGTACAGGACATCGTACAGTTACACGGGTAAATGGTATTACGAATGCTTGCTGGCCGACTTTTAAATCAATCACTTTCACCTAAAGTAAAAATAAATTAAGAAAATATCTAACTGTTAAACAATAAACTATTTAGGAGAATGTTTAGGATCATTATTAAAAGGATAAACATTAAAATGTACTACTTCTTCTTTTATATGATTAGTTTTAATAGATTTCACAATAAATCTTGCAAATTTACTCTTGCTTCAACAACAAGTAGCTGTGTGGGATATTGAAACGAAATTTAAATAGATATACGATTAGTATCTTGATAAACAGACACACAGAACGTATCTTATCCTGTAACTGGTAACGTTAATTTTTCCTTTCTTGAGACTTATTATGATCGCCACTCTTAGAGAAATCACTTCTGTAAAGGACGTGGGAGACAGTTGTAAAATGTGTCAAGTTAATCAAAATGTACCAGTTAATCGAATTTCTAATATTTTATCAAGAGTTAGCAATAATCTAATTGATTAACTACTACTATCTGTCGACTGAAATTAGTTATCTAGTTTATATTACTGGCTGGACCAAATTGCTCTAAATTATTCGAATTCACACAATAAATCCATTATGTATCGAGTGGTATAATTATTGAGTTCTATGAACAGGACAGTTCGGAAACGTTTTTCACATATTAACCAATTTCGTATAACATTTTCCAAGTGTTCATATATACAGTAAAAAAAGGGCAAACTTCTTTGTTGAACTTATATTTTGTTCATAAGAAACGGTTTGCCAAGTGTACAATATGATATGAATTAGTATCTTAATAAATATAGGGAACAACTTTATGAGTTGTCGCACATAGGTTACCAAAACCTTTTTGTTAACGTTTAAAAAAGAACTCTGTAGGGTTAATGAAAATGTGATAATCATTAGATTGTTACATATAAACTAGTAAAGGGGTTTATAATGAAATGGACTAAAAAAATGTCTCAGTTATGTACTAACTCAAGATTTGTTTCAGCAAAGTTACATATTTATTCAACTAATTGTTAGCATTTTTTTTACTTTGTAGGCTTTAGTGTTTTTGTGACAAGATGTCTTAACTATGGATTACTTTTAGAAAGCAACTAAGTATAGTATTAAACTTAATCATTTCTGTTACTCTCATAAAGTATTAGGTTATAGGTAATCTGTAACCTGGATATGATAAATTCACATAAAGTAATGTACACATAAGAATTTATCAGATCAAAATCTAAAAAAAAACAAAGTAAATATGCAGATCAATCAGACCATATTGAATACTATTGAAAGATATGATAGTAATGTATAATTAGTTGTTAAGAGCATTCCTCATCGATTCCTAAACATTGAAAGGTATAATTATGTAACCTGAAATATTTGAATAGCCGAGAATTTATGATTAGATTAATTCTGTCTAGAATCTTATTACATTTTAATATAACCAGATACAAAAAAAGTATATAGGTAAAAAAAATAATTAAAGAAACTACTTTTCTCATCTGAACAATAGTTAAAGTGTCAGTATTAATCATTGGTGGTTTGCTGTCACATTTTCTTGAACTTTCTTCAAAACATCGACGCCATGTTGGTTGAATTGCTTTCCCAGACATATAGCAAGCTGCCATTGGCAATTCGCGAAGTGATCCATTAACTTGTACAGAAATGCACGATAGTTGACGTACTTGTCTGCCTGGACGACATGGATCACTTTGGATACACTAATGAAAAAAATATAATTGTAAAAATTCTTATGTATATTCGTATTGTCTGTACTTTTTAAATAATTACACTAAGGTCACTCAATTAGTTAGACTAGAAACTTAAGGCGAATCAATTCTGAACACCATACAAAAGTATGTAGTATGGTACAACTGATTAAAATCCAATAATCTGTAAAAGTGGTCACTGAAAACTAGAATTAGTAACAAAGAAAATGTACTTTTCTGAAGAACGTTTTCGACGGTGGTTTTAAAAATCTACTGGTTTGCCGATTTTATTATAATAATGACACAGGTGCATTATTTGATAGAGATTATGTTATTCCTTTCGGCTTTTACTCAGCATAATTTAGCGAATATCAAACATATCTTCTGTATTCTTATAAGATTTTTAGATAATCATGTATTATAACTAATTTCGTTAAGAATTTAATCCACTCAATGAACTCAGTTATTTTATTTCCATGTTTATTACCGTTCAATTTCACTTATAGCTCAATGTAAGGCACCATCATAATAGTGTTTCATATTGATAATGACATTCTAAATTTATTTGGAACTGTCCTTCTGTAGTGGCTAATTCGGTTGTATTTAAAGTTCAAACTGTAATATAAACCTGATCTAATAAGAACAAATCTATTAGCTATCTTTTTCCACTGTTTTATTATTGACTGGAAACAGTAGTTTTAAATTCAAATAAAATAAACAGTCTCTTCTCTAACAGCTCACTAGAAAACTGTAATATTTAGCGAGATTATACAGACACTGTCAACTATCTAACACAGTTTAGCTAACTATAAATATTTAGGCTGATAACGTTGATTAGGTGGGATACTTCAACATCACAGTCTTATTCATTTCAATTGAGTTAGAATAACTGAACAACTATATATCTTTTTACTTAATTACACAAAACATTTCTGTCGATTGTATAAACATAAAACTGAGGTCATAAAGTTATATTTAGCAGTAAATTGCAAATTAATTTACAAAATGTGATAGTGATAAACTTATTACTACCCTGGTAATCCTTTTTTGTTTTTATTTTTTTGTTTGCTTGTTTCAGTTTTGTTGTTATTAGTTTAATTTTGGTTATTCAGTTTTTATTATATACCCAATTCTTAAACCACCCTTTTTCTCACACATTTCCGCTTATTTGTCTCTCCTAATTATATAAACTATCCAAATTTTATTCAACTATTACGTAACCCACCATAATTGATTTCAACTACCTCTAGAAATTATTCAATTATTACGTAACCCACCCTAATTGTTTTTATTATCTCTAAAATAATCACACTTTTGATCTTATCTGTCTTTCAATTCCACTCAACTATTACGCCACTCTTCTAATACCTAATAACCTCTGACCTTTCCTTGCACATATATATATATATATATATACAGTTATCATTGATGACTTTTGTTATTCCAATCCTTTACATTCACTTATGCCAGCCGTTCCATCCTATTTATTACCCTAATGCTAAAACTCTAATGCATATTTGGTTGCAAGCAGCTGATGAGAAACCACGAAATATAATGAATTCATATTATTCTGCATCAATATTTGTTTTGTCTTTATTTAAATCCATAAAGGGAACTAACTGCATGAGCTAGAATAACTGAACAACTATATATCTTTTTACTTAATTACACAAAACATTTCTATCGATTGTGTAAACATAAAACTGAGGTCATAAAGTTATATTTAGCAGTAAATTGCAAATTAATTTACAAAATGTATAAAGAGAACAAAAAATGGCCGTAATTCAATATATATATATATATATATATATATATATATATATATATATTAACTAATTAGATAGTAAGTTATTCAGAGACAAGTGTTTCTTTTAAACATATAGTTTATAACTCACCTTACCCCATTTTTCTGGGACAAATTCAGGCTTACATGCAAATCGATTGCACGATGCATGTCTCTCAGGTTGACGATAATTACCACAATAATAAGATGCATCAAAATCTGATATCACAAGATCACCATCTTTGCCTGAATAAACACACTGTACATCACGAGACATTATGCCAAGTCCACCACATGTTTGTGAACAATGTCCCCAGTTAGATACTCTCCATCGATATCCTTTACCGCATGGACCGAGTTTACATGCTCTTTGATTGTTCTCTGTATTCTGTGCACTTGGATTGGGTAAATGTTCACATTGTGATTCATCCAACAGCGTAGTAGCATTGTAATGATCGTTTTGAACACATAAAAATTGACGTACTTCAACACCATCACCACACTCTTCAGAACAACTAGACCAACTCTCCGAAGGCATCCAGAAAGGTGGAGTGACACTGGAAAAAATACAGATTTTTATACCTAAAAATATATATCATATAGCGTATCAGTTGTCAAGATAGGTAATAAGAAACCAATCTGCATAGAACGAGGAGTTTTATCATACATTTACTTACCAATTCTCAAGTAGTAAATATTAAGTGGATGAATTTCTAACAGTCCCATGTTAAGAGAAAAATAACTGCGAACAAAATTATTGGTCCTTTTTCAATCGGTCAACGCTGCATATGAATACAGGAGGTGCTAAGAATTTCTCCTATAATTTTAATAATCTCTTACTTCTTTTTTTCTCGGAGTATATTTTGTTTCCAACTCATCTATTGGATTAAAATGTATTAATCAGAGAGTGTGAGAGAGGGGAGAATTTGTCGAACTAAATTGATAAGTTAGAGAATAAAATTGTAAAATAAATGAGAAGGTAGATTAATAAACAGTTGATATGAGTAGTAGTTGAGGAAGGTATTTGTCAAATTGATTATTTGACTTTGTTCAGTCGACTAACTCATGTATTGAGTGTAAGGTTGTTTATGGGATTGTACAAATACGTCATGATTTCTTCATTTTTATCTATTAGGAATCCATGAGATGTAACCTGAACTTAGTATATAAAGAAATATTTCCTGTGATTACCTTGGATTTATCAATATATGAGCAACTTTAGTTTATTTTAGCTCTTATTTTTGTGATTGGTGGTTCAATTGAAATAGATAATCGAAGAGGAATGACCATTTGCTTCATCAAATCAATTAATCAAAAATTTAATTGATTTGAGTATCAACTGAAGAGTTTAAAACTCGGAATAATATCCTGTGACATTTAGAAAAAGTTCTAAACAAGGATAAAACTGCTGTCCATAACTCCAACATTTCCTTTACCTTATTTGATAATGTTGAATTGTAGTGTAGTGTTTTACTGTATTTACTAATTTTACAAATTTTATTAGTTATTTCCTTATTATCAATAAAGAAACGTTTTTTAATTTCCTTCTCTGTAAGTCATGTATTTTTTCAAGTTAGATGAGGAGATATGTATCCTTTTATTTGAAGTTGGTTTTCCCACAGAATAACAAGTTGAAAACTATAGAATGCCAGAGAGCACTGAATACCCATTTCGTATAAGTTTGTGACTTCATATTAGTAAGAATTCACATGGCAATATGTGATAGAACTCACAACTTTCAGGTCTTTATATTGTTAATTATGTCTCATAACATTCTTTCTCTAACGGCCCCCAAATACCCTGGTACAACCGAGAGTGCAGAGAGTCCGTTTTCCCTCTCCAAATGCTCCCACATGGCTACGCGTATATAGCCTCTGCCAGGAAAGTCCTACTCACTGCCTTCTCGTGTCACGGGTGTTGTTCACGAATGTGAGAGGACGAAAAGCGAATATCCGGCTCACTAACCGAGTTGGTGGATATGGAGGATACACCTAGAGGATTTGGAAAACCCTGATTCCAAACCAATGGTACACATGGGCTCCAGTATCCTGAGAGAACAAATGGCGTATGAATCAATCGTTGGTCACTAGCTACCATGGGACTGCATCTCCCTACGATGCTCCACTGTCTTGTGGATCAGACCTTTAGGTCAAAGGCTCCAGGTGTGGTCCCCTAAGAAAACCACCTGCTTCAGTTTGGGCACCTGAGCAGTATCCCAGCTTTAACACAACTCAAATGAGATTTGTATGGCGCATATGTATCTGGTGCTTCTTTGTATCAATATTTATGTGTTTAAATAATAATAATAATAATAATAATAATAATAATAATAATAATAATAATAATAATAATAATAATAATAATAATAGAGAGGCCGGAAGTAAATGTGGTAAGTACAGATGATAAGTCCCAAATTAGGATTAAACAAGTATCTATTACATGTAAATTTTCCTTCCTCTTTTATCTATACTAATCAATTGAGATTCTTATAGGAACTAATAATAGATATATAACTCTATATATTTACTTACTAACTAACAGTTAATTTAAAACAAGTACAGAAATCTTATTAATGCTTCAGAATTCACATTAAAAATACAATTTAAATTTAACAAATATCATTCATTAATAAAAAGAATAGCATGATTGTTATTATAAAGTAATGATATATGAAATGTATTTCAGGTCATCGATTTGAGTCAAGAATAATAATTATTTGAAATATCTATTACGTAATTATTGAAATGTACTAAAGTTAAAAGCGGTTACAAAGTTTTACCAATATAATTCACTGTCATATTTACCGAATTATTTATGATTAATTAACTGAACTAGAAAAAAAGTGATCTATTTTTGAATAAATCTGAGTAGATAAAATCTAATCCAGATAAACTATTAAGTAATTAAACATAATAAATTGTAATTTGACAAAGATTCTAAAAGTAAAAATTGTTTATCATGAATCACTAATTTCTATGTATTCTAACATACTGCAACAATTAGTGAAATGAATCGATTATCGTGGCTTGGCTTCAAGATAATTTCTTAGGCTTCGTTAATCAATCACCCTGAGAATTGTTATTAAATAAATCCCAACGGTGTATGAAATCAGAAGGCAATACGAAGCGGCGACTACAGTTTATTAGCGGATAGCAAAGATAACAAAGTTACAAGGACATAGAGCGCTAATGCGTGCGTACAAGCGAATACAGAGGCGGATTCAGAGTCAAATCGAATCGAACCAAGGCGAAGCGAAGTAAGACAAAGCAATTAATATGATTCAAGCATATATATATATATATATATATATATATATATATATATATATATATATATATATATATATATATATATGATTTATCGAGCTACGTAGGCTACAAAGAAATAGATAAATTGTGACCATACGAATAAAACTGTCTGTAAAAAATGTTATTTGAGAGGCTTGACAAAATTAACTGTAAACAAAATAATTTTAGGAGAGTTGCTGTGCGATATTGCTGTAAACAGAGTGACAGTTAGTTATAATTTTAAATCAGTAAGTGAATAAATGAGTAATACGTCAATTTATGTTGGATCAGAAGAATACTTGAGCTAATATTTTCGTGCACAAACTTCCTATTGAATCGATGAAATTCAGGAAGTAACTTATTTTAATGTAATCATTAGGTAGACAGAACACCTTAACTTATTTTCTATACTAGAGGGCCTACTGACTATGCTTCAGTTATACGATACATAATAACCTACTTAAAATCCAATAAGCACTTATCACAAATGACCGATCATCCGGTTTTATTGATAAAACCTGAAAAAGCACTGACAGTTCAAAAGAAAATACTTGAATATAGAATTTAAAGTAGATAATGATGAGGTAATAATGGAAAACCGAATTTCAAAACCTCGTAAAGCAATATATCCTACCCTAGGATCCTTCCTGTTGCCTTCTATATCCTTCCTTTTGTCCATGGATATGTGAAGGATAAACTTTGATCCACATGGATGTGTATCGATAAGTTTACTCATCCGTATGATGCAGTTGACACTCACACAAAATGAATTCTTTTTAAACTTATCTCAGAAAATTACCTGATGTAGCTTTAGAAAGGAGAATTTAAAATATTACCAAATTTACTAAACTCTATTTTATTCCAAGTAAGTTGTTTCTCAATAATGATCCAAACGATCATCACGAGTTTAAATGAAATAGTTACGTAATAAAATGTCATATAATTTATGTTCAGATAATTAATCTTTTACGGAACTTTTCTTTATTAATTTGGTTAATACAAAAGATTTATGAAAAACTGTACTAGTTGATATTAGTTTTACTTTCTCTTCCGATACTTTCTGTCAGACAGACATTCCACAGTGAGTCGATGTTTATTTTTTCTTGAAAAACAAAGGTTACTCAGAATAAAGCCAAATGCATCACTAATTGTGAATGAAAAGCTTTTGTTAACTTAATTATCAGAGTGTATTTGAAAGAGTTTTGTTTTCAAAAAATACACTCCTAATCCTATAATTAAACTCTTTACTGATATTATTTGGATACAATATGGTTGATAGTCTATTGACATAGTTAACAATTATGATTTGATACTTTTTAGAGAACTTTTAAATTTTCATTAACTTTTCTAGTTTTACGTTTTCTGACCGTCAACTAAGTGCACGTTTCTAGGTGTCATTTTTTCTTAAGTATCCTAAAGATCATTTAATTGGTGATAAAGTAATTCATGAGTCAACTGAGCTTTTATAAAAAGAACCCCAAGTTTAATTTTTTATATAAATTATGTTAGAGATTTTATTTATTTATTTATTAAAACACATGGATATTGGTACAAAGAAGCACCAGATACATATGCGCCATACAAATCTCATTTGAGTTGTGTTAAAGCTGGGATACTGCTCAGGTGCCCAAACTGAAGCAGGTGGTTTTCTTAGGAGACCACACCTGGAGCCTTTGACCTAAAGGTCTGTTCCACAAGACAGTGGAGCATCGTAGGGAGATGCAGTCCCATGGTAGCTAGTGACCAACGATTGATTCATACGCCATTTGTTCTCTCAGGATACTGGAGCCCATGTGTACCATTGGTTTGGAATCAGGGTTTTCCAAATCCTCTAGGTGTACCTCCATATCCACCAACTCGGTTAGTGAGCCGGATATTCGCTTTTCGTCCTCTCACATTCGTGAACAACACCCGTGACACGAGAAGGCAGTGAGTAGGACTTTCCTGGCAGAGGCTATATACGCGTAGCCATGTGAGAGCATTTGGAGAGGGAAAACGGACTCTCTGCACTCTCGGTTGTACCAGGGTATTTGGGGGCCCTCTAAAAATTCGTCTCAACATATAAGTCTGACAGTTTACAATGTGTAGACGTTCTAAGTGTGAAAGAAGCGGTTGTTCAATATTTCTCTGTTTGTCAACAATAATCAAATCAACTTTATTTTCTGAAGAAAATTTCCTGTGAATGAGAATAGCTAAGCGAAATCCATATGGTACACTTAAACGATTCTTTCAGTCTGATCTCTTAGTATAAGTTTCGAAAAAGACTACTTGCTGTATGAATTAGAAATAACTGCTACAACCTTGAGAAGTTAATACTCAATAAACAATACTTTAAATATTTATTAGTCACTTAAATACCATCAGATGCAGAAACCTATGAGCGTAACACTTCGTTTTATACTACTTATAAGTAGGTAAAGTGTTTGACTATAATTCGTTAAACGAAACAATTCTCTCAGATTACTTTGAATAAATTGCTATCTGCGATTCATTATTTGCATCCCCAAAAAACATCCGTCCCTAAATTCCGAATAATCTTTCAGTTATTTTGAATTATTTTAATATAACCAATTATTTTAAAGAATCCGTGAACTTAGTGAATTTTTTTTAAAGTTCTGAACGTTGAAATTATTCATATTATTATTATATGAAATAATTATTCATAGTATGCTGCTGTTTTACTCATAGTAACAGACAGTAAAACCTTTACATCTATACCGATTATTGTCACCAGTGAAATGAATAACGAAACTTATATACTTCAATGTTTGCTTTATGGTAAATGTTAGTAAATGAAAATCAAAAGGACCCTTTTAAAGTTATAAATTTCAATGGCTCTAACATTTCTATTTAGATAAGCTTTTAACGTCTACTTAGTAATGTCGTTCCACTTAGAAACTGCTAAATTTCTCTGGTTACAACCATTCGTATTGCTGATATATGAATGATGACTATCTTATGCAATGATTATTAGTGAAGAAAGCTTCCGTATAATGTGCTGTGAATTTCTAATAAATATTAACGATAGTAAATATGAAGAAACATGATTGAAATAATATACTGAGCGATCGCGATTCATCTACCCGTAACTTTTATTTAACAGAATTTTCATTTGTTAGATGTAGTGAAGTGAGAGCTCATCCACCTATATAGTAATCTTTAAAACATACGATTCCGAAGTCTAACTTATTTCTTTGTTCTGAGATTATGATTAACACTTCTCAAGTGTAACTTGAAGAGTCCTGATAAACAGTATATGATGCTACGTGCATCTAGTTGACAATTCGTCTTTTTGCTAAGGGCGTCTAGCGAATCTTATAAAAAACGAGATTTCTGAGCTTCTGAAGTCCAGTTATCTTTGGTCACTGACGTTCATATATTCACCATGTTATTGTTTACTACACTACAGTCGAAATATACATCATGTTTTATTATGCTAAAACTCACAATCTTAATTAATGAAAGTAAAATTAAATTTAATAAATATAAGATATACGAATCTGTAATCTATATTAAAATCCACCAGGATTTCACAGTAAAGCACATCCATAACATAAACTTATTTTAAATTTTTGTTAGTGATAAAATGGATAATAATAGATAAGTCTAATTGTTCACATTTGATTCCCAATTAGGAATGATAATAATGATTAGAGTGCTTTCGAAATATACACATCATTGTGCTAAGTTATTAATATGTATTACAACTTATTTGACTGAGTGATTTTAAGAAATGGGACCTAGGAATGGTATAGGATGTCGTAGCAGAAGGCACTTACAAACTTCCATAGGTTTTGATCCAAGTCTCACCATACAGGTGATACCTTTAGACTAGTGAGTTGGAAGTCAATGATTCAAATGACTGATTTCATTCACCTAGCATCATCTTAAAGCAATGATGTCTTAAATGAAGCAGATCTCTTACTGATGATAGTGATTAATTGTCTGATTGTAGTGAGTGACCTCAGTGGTTCAACGATACCATGTTCTAAATTTTCTCTTTTGAATCTTAGGTAAATTCATGAGTTCAGATAGTTAAAGAGTCCTAAATTATGACATATTAGCCGTCTGTTGTCCCTTGATTGTAAATGGCTTCTTAGATGATGACAAGCGATCATGAAAACTGCCAGACTAAAACTTCTTGAGAGTGAAATTTAATCTCAGCCATCAAAAGATAATGTAATCTTTGGATAATCTTTATCCTAATTTGATATAATCTTAAGCAGTAATTAGTTAAAAATAACATTCAAATTTAGCTTAACACTATAAACACTATAAAATAAATTTAAAAAGTCCGTATTTAATTTAATGGGAAAACCAATAAAATATACAAAAAAAATAATACTATCGATAACAATAAACCTAGTTGTTGCTCTTTTAAATATTTTTTTTCAAGGGTTCATAGTGTAGTGAGCGAAACACTAGTTGGGGACAATCGAATGTATTTGAGCACGAGAATTACAGACTATCTCACTAAATTCTGATAACCATACAACAAACAGTTAATTTGCAAAATAACAACCAATTGTCTCAATCTTCATTGTTCATTCTGTAAATATCAGCTCATCTTCTCTAATTCTACTATTCATGCATTTTTCTACAAATTAAGCTTCATTCCAGTTCTTTCCTTATCGGTCTTCTGCCAAAGTACATTCTATGTCTGACCATCGCCATATACTACTTATATGAATTTAAGTAGACCACATTACAATGGAATTCAATTGTCCAATTAATCAATTCTTTGATTAACTCATTTTGATGCTTTTTAGAAATTAGTTCTTGATTTTATGTATGTATCCAGTTTACTTGAAAGTCAAAAAATCTTTTCTAGTATTTGACAAAACAAATCAATCTTCAACTTATCGATGAGAGTTATTTAATATGCTTCTTAAAGCTTTCATAATTAACATTAAAAATATGATGGTTCTCATCAGTTGTTTATTTATTACTAAAAAACTTTTATGAACAAGCTAGTATAGTTGTATTTCCCGTTAAATTCAAAATTGGAGATAGTTTACATGATAACTTTACATTTTCAAAACTGGACGGCCGTTTCGTCCTATTATTGGACTCCTCAGCAGTGCGCATCCACAATCCTGCCTCGCGAGATTCGAACCCAGGACCTACCAGTCTCGCACCAGAGCACGGCCGTCCAGTGCTTCCAGGTTTTCCATGGTGGTCTAGCTTCAATTGACTCATGATCTCAATTATATAAAATTACTAAAATCTCCACAAAACTCCCTTCTGATTTTCAAAACTATTCAGTGATTGAAATTATACTTCAATAAAGTACTTGTTTTTATACTTTTCCATTTGAAGTTGTGTAATAAAATCAAGAAGTAAACTTTCTTCCATTGTTTTTCTTAAGTAGTTTAAGATGATTTTTTCAATAATACAATTTACATGATAAAAATTAAATTAAAATCTTTTGAAAGTGTGTCTTAATGGAGCCGAACTAATTTATTGTTTTAATATCCTATCCGAAAAAGAAAATAATTTTAATTTTCTTTAATTGTCATTGTTGTTATGTTTCAGCTAGAAAATGTCATCGGAATTGATAAAAGAAATGAATAATTCTGTTACTTTGCATTGAAACGTTTTTTGTAAAAGTTGGAAAAAAATTCTTACTTATATGAATTGTGTCTTCAAGGGATCTAGATAACCTACTTAAGTTACCATTGGATACTGACAATGGAATACAGATATGAGTGGTTTTTTGTTTCAATGTTTTACTTGTTATTATAAATACTTGTGCACGTTAGGATGTGTCTAGACTTCACTTGATATGAAATTTAGACATTGTATTATTTGTATTAAATGTTTTGCTAAAACTTCAATGAGTTTTTGGCTGACAGGTACATATCCTGTTTTAGTGGTTGTTAATGATGTAAATAACAATTTCATTACTATTATATACAGTTGAAATTATGAGTCAATTGAAGCTAGAATGCCATGGAAAACCTGGAAGCACTGGACGGCCGTTTCGTCCTATTGTGGGACTCCTCAGTAGTGCGCATCCACGATCCCGCCTCGTGAGACCCGAATCCAAGCCCTACCAGTCTCGCAACAGAGACCGATAGACCACTGAGCTAGCCGGCATCCAACGGTGTTAATATCTAACTTCAACCAATGCACGAAATTTAGCAACCATTCACCATTGTCTTCAGTGAGTTGATATCTCCCAACAGACGTGGTTTTGAACTCCACTGGTCACTGCTTCTCACTAGAACTCCAGGAAATACCACATGTAGCCAGTCACTAGTGAGCATATAATCATTATCAAAAGGGGGTTTTGTGGAGATTTTTAGTAATTTTTATATATAGTTGAAGTCATGAGTCAATTGAAGCTAGACCAACCAATGCTTCCAGGTTTTCCATGGTGGTTTAGCTTTAATGTCAACTATGTATAAAAGTACTAAAAATCTCCACAAACAACCCTGAATTAAATTATTCATTTAAAAATCTTCCATTTTTAACCATAATAGATGCCAAGTTCAAATTGTCACAAATTATATAGTTTAATAAATTTTCAATAATTAGATAAACAAATTTCTACTATCATTATATACAAAAAGCAATTTATTACAATATACTACTATTATTATATTAAGTAAAAAATAAACAAACTTACACTGCTGAAATTTCCATCAGTATCAAACTCACCAACATTGATATTATAAATGACTTTTTAATTAAAGCACTATTTATTTGATGATTAATTTTCTGATATGAATACAAAGATCTTTTTACAGAATAGTTCAACTGAAACATCTTGAATGTATGAAGTGTTCTTTCGAATTTTTCTACAATTGAATATATAATTGATTCAATGTTTAATTTAAAATGCATTCTTTTAATGATCAGTATGAAGAATTAAATTGTATCTATTTGGTTAGTGTTTGTTTACTATTGCTTTCTACAAAATGAATGAATAAAGATTATAAAAAAAAACATAATTACAGTTTATCATAAAACTGAAAGTGAATGTATTGTTTTTATTTGTTGAAAGTTTCTGAATGAATAGAAATACGATAGAAATATATTAATGCTTCAATTCAATTTATAAAATTTGCTTTTCATATCAACCGGATAAGTGGTTTTTGAAATTACAATGATATAATTTTGCATGCCAAATATTTTAGTGGTAACGTCTCAGACTGTGAAGTTGGATAAAATGTGTTCAAATCCTACTGAGAGTATCAGTCCTCTCAAGATTCCTAAAGAGTGCTAACTTGCACAGAACCTAGATTCAGTATTTCCTGGATCAGCTACCAGACATTATGATGAAACTGTTACGATCCATCCGAAATTAATTATCAGGATAATTTTAAGTTGATTAACTAATAATCGATTTCGAATTATAATTTAATAACTACCTGTTCACATGTTATCTTTTTAATCTTTATGAATAATGAAATTGTTTGCTATTATTCAAAAAACTGTGACTATCTGTAGGAAATTTGATTCAGTTCTACTGTATTGTGGGTTGCTTATATCCACATAAGTAGCATATGGTGATGGTCAGGCAGAGAATGTGTTTCAGCACGACATCGATAAGGAAAGAGCTGAAACGAAACGCAATCAGTATGAAAATGTATGAAAAATAATAATCGAATACTATGGACTGATATTTGTAGAAGGAACGGTCAAGATTGAGACAATTGCTTGATAGTTTGCAAATTAACTATTTACTGTAAGGGTGTCAGATTTTACTGAGATAGTCTGTAACTTCCGTGTCAAATGCATTCGATTATCCCCACTCGCGTTCTTGTTCACTAAACTACTTAGAAAGAACACCTAATTCTTCCAAGAGTATACATTTATGTAGTCAATGAAGTAAATAAACAGGTTCAAAAACACTGCTTGATTCTTAACTAAAACGGATAAATAAAGTCTAGATAATTCAATCAAAATGCAAAATTTGTCAGAATTGATGTGATGCATGTTAGAGTACACTTCGTTGTCTTGTTGAGATACCTATATATGATAAGTGAAAATGTCAAACTGAAAAGATTTAGAGACATAAAAAAAGACAGGTAATGAGGAAAAATAATATAAAACAAAACACTATAGGTATTGAATATAGATGAATATAATATTTGCGTCAGTTTATCGTTAGTAATATTGATCTAATTTTTATATTCAAAGTAGTCTTTTATTACTGTCTTATATAGTAGAAGTGGATTTTGGCTGACCGTTGAATGCAAAATACTCTTTTTGTCCTATTCGAGACTTGTCAGCAGAATGCGCCTGCATCCGCTTTGATATTTATATTGGAACTCGAACCCTACAGCCTTTCGTTTCAAATGCTGAACAAAGGATAAATATATGACAATTAAGATTGATCAGAACTCGATCATCAGTATCAGAAATGGCACCACACAAAACTATTATAATTTAAACTTGTGATCTTTCTTTTTTATATTCTAATCCGCCTAGTTTTATTATTTTATTCCTCATATGTAAATTTTTTTATACGTTAATGCACAGTCAGATTACTCAAAATATATTGCACTAATATGCATTACATCAATTCTTGTAAATTAGGTCTTTCCATTGCAATGATTTCAGTTTGTTTGATCTGACCAGTTAAAGTTAGTTTAGTCATTAGGAAAGACATCATTTGGAGAATGAGTGAATATTGAGAAACACTCAATAACTGTTAATAAACTACTAAGAAAATCCATGACGCCGTCTATCGAGCACATATTTGTGCACTTGGCTTTTAGTCACATTTTATATGTAGATTTAGCGGAACTATTCACTTGTTCATACTGTAATAGATGAAGTGGGATTCGAACATAATACTTAAAAATTGAACGTCTTAACTATTATGCCATAACATTAGTTGGTCACCATTTAATTTAGAAACTGTTCACGGTGGCAATTATTTCTTAGCTAAAAATCCTGGACAATTTCTTCATACTGTTAATAGTTCAATCAGTTATTTATTGATTTTAGTCATTTCCGTATGTCATTCTCAAAGTTATAATGACGACGAATAGCTGATGATACTGATATGCTATTCGTATAAATTACAGTGAACCAGTCAAAATGTCTGTATGTAATACTCTCGGTTATTACTAGTCATGGAAATGTGCGGCATATTGTAGACTTAACAACTAGTTTGTTCAGAATAAATGTTTCTAAGTTGCTGTAAGGTAATGAAACGCGAATGTTCATACAAATTTCATTTGTATTTCAGTGACTTAGATACATGACTCTAAGATCAAAGCTAAAAAAATATACAAGTTAATTTTCTTAAACACCATAAAAATCGGTTGTCATTTTTGCGAAATTCATATTTATTTATCACTTGTATCATTCTAAGTCTAAAGCCAACACTATCAGTATTTTTCTTGTTTATATTCATAAATACATTCTATTTCAAGCATGAGTTATTCGTAAAGTACGTTGTGTAAACAGTGTAGATAGCGTAATTGGATAACAGGTTTTTTACCAGTGACTAAAACTTATGTATCGTTGTGTTAAATATTTTCAGCTAGGAGATATCCAACATACACCAATCTTGACAAAATACAATAGTTGAGATTAGACTGAAATCTGGACACTCCTACTACAATACTTTTGAAAATATTTTAGTATCGACTTCACTAAGTCAAACACCACTGATAAAGCACTGTGTGAATGAAAAAAATTGTGTCAGAACGACAGTTTACTGAATACAATGGTAACTAGTTTTATTATATAAAAACTAATAATTAATACGAACATAATTCTCATTTATGATATTTTAAAATATCTCTATTATAATACATAACTGAATCACATATAACCGAATATTTTGTGAGTTTAGAATAAATCATTTTTGTTACATCCTCCATAAACTTTGTTACTGCTAAAAGTTAACTGAGCTTATATATGAGCTTTACTTTTGCCATACGTCCAGTGACTCCAGGTCTTCCATGGTGGTCTAACACTTATCAATTCGTAATCCCAATCAAAAACTTAACAATCTCCTCAACCTAATAATTATATAATTAATTTTGATCAGGACAAGATTTGATGGCAGAAAGTTACTTCAACAGAAATGATGAATGAATTGGACATATAAATGTAAGTATTAAATACCGAGAGGATTCTGAGTAGTGTATGGATCTAGAACTTTTAAAATACAAAGCATACAATAAGCGTTCCATTCACCTTCCTTTTCACATGCTTTTTTCACTTGAACTATCTGTGGAGAAGGAAATTGTGACTAGTCTGTCATTACCTAATGTAGCTGACTCTCCTTATAGAAAGTCTTCTTTGCTAGATCATTACAAAAAAATCTACTGACTTTCGCTCGTCAAGTTAATTTTATTTTTATAATATTTTTTAAACTATGAAACCAATTTCATTTATTATTTGAATGGTTACTTGTGTCTTTGATTATCATTAAATTGATTAAATCTTACCCACAGAAATCTACTTCAATCTGAATTACTTTATTGAATATCATGTTTTTAAGTTAAGTTTCTTCTGACCCATTATCCCCTTTTCTTTATTTCAAACTTCCATTTCCAATTTCCTCAACTAAATTACATTATTTTTCTTTATTGTATTCTTAATACAATTGATCATAAACTGGATCTTTTCACAGTAAACGAAAAGTTTTAGATATCAACAGATTTTTACTTTATAAGCTAAGATTAATAGTGGCTAGCAGAGGAATACAGGACGCGCGTTTTGTCTTATTCGGGACTCGTCAGATGGACGAAACGCGCGTCCTGGATTCCACTGCTAGCCACTCTCCGTCTCTGCTTATAATGCTTGTGAATTAGGGCTATATCGAGGCAATACGCACAGTATGCATATATGCTCATAAAAGACTGATCGATTGTAGTCCTAAACATCAATTAGAAAATTCAAACAAACAATACCAAGTGCATTTCAATTTTTACTTTATTTTACTAAATATTTCTATGATTAAACCATTTCAAACTTAAATAACCACGATAATAGTTATACTAAATCAATAATCCCTTATTATTCAACAAATACCAATTGTTCATGATTCATATGATATAAAATCACTAACATATTCTCTAGTTTGACAATGATTATGTAATATATTCAATCGAATACTGTTGCCAACGTATGTGAATACAACTTCATATATATATATATATATATATATATATATATATATATATATATATATATACAATCAACTAGGTTCTTTAAACTATTCATACAGATCAGTTTATGATATAGTATGTTCTAAATTTAAGAAAATAGTTCATCACTTAAACTCATATAAACTAGTAAATGAATATTGTGAATAGTTGAAAAATTACTTGATTTCCATTGGTCATTTCTGTTACTATTCCACTTACAAAACATACATTTTTTCAAAAATGATAAAAAGAAGAATTTATTAGATTTTGGCTTATAGTTTTATTTTATGAAAATAAATATCATACTACGTTTTAGCTTCTGTATGTAATGAAACTAATGAATGCGTACTGTTTAGATTTTTGCTTGGTTGCATACAGCTGATTGGGTGAATGAAATCAGAAGGGGTATTGTGGAAATTTCAGTATTTTCATAGTTGAAATCATGAGTTAATGTATAACTTCCATCAATCCACGAAGTTGAGTAACCATTCACCAATTGTCTTCAGTGAGTTGATACCTCACAACAGATGTGGTTGAACTCCACCGGTGCTAATCTCTAACACCATCGGATGCCAGCTCAGTGGTCTAGTGGTTAAGCGCTCCGACGCGAGACTGGTAGGTTCTGGGTTCGAATCTCACGGGGCGGGATCGTGGGTGTGCGCTGCCATTGAGGAGTCCCACAATAGGACGAAACGGCTGTCCAGTGCTTCCAGGTTTTCCATGGTTGTCTAACTTCAATTGACTCATGATTTCAGCTATGAATGAAATCCTTCCTTGATTTAGCATAGTTAAATTC